ACCGGAGGAGCTGAGGAGGAGACGGTGAGGCTGCAGAGCGGGGGTAAAACGGAGGATGAAGAAGAGGAGCTTTAAACTCTACATCCCTGCAATCATCGAGCAGATACTGGACTCCGTCGTCACCATTCCCCGGCTTACCGACGGTTCGAGCCGACAGGGACACCACCGCGACCGGCATGAAGAAAGGAGGGGGACTGTCCGTGCTCATAAACAACAGGTGGTGTAACGCCGGGCACGTCTGTGTGAAAGAGCGTCTGCAGCCCGGACATCGAGCTCATCGCCGTCGGACTTCGTCCGTGTTGTCTGCCACGGGAACTTTCCAGTGTTGTCGCCATCACTGTCTATATTCCTCACAGTGGTCTTCATCATCACCATCACTGTTTACATTTATGATGTCCTATTTATTCTCCTGTACAGCACTTTGGTCAACTTTGGTTGTTTTAAAAGTGCTTAACAAATAAAGTTGGATTGGATTGGATTGGATTTCTTCTGATCTGGCCTAAATTGAGAGTACATGACAGTAATTTTATTATATGTACATTAGACAGTGTTACATATATATATTTTTTCTGAGTGAGTAATATGAAAGTGTGTGCCATTTGGTGCAAAAGTTTGATTTTGATAATGCTATATGTTTTTTTGGTTGCAGTGCTTCATTTTGCAGGATATATGAGGTATTTTACATTTCCAGACTTGTTTATGCAGAATAGCTATTAATAGTAGTTGTTGTTGTTGTTATCAATTTAATTATTAATCCTAATTTTCAAATAGTTGTTTATGTTATTTTTCTTCACTAAGTTTTAGCGAGGTTTGTTTATTTTTAAATATTTTTATTGTCGGAATGTTGTTTTTTTTTTTTTTTTTTTTTTATCTTTTGCCATGCTGTCATCGGAATGTTGTGATGTCATTCAAAGATCAAAACCAATAGAATGTTGCTTTGATACAAAGGCGAACATTCCATCTGAAAATGCATAAATAGGATCTAAATCCAACCTGGTTCAGTTCAGACTCACTTCGAACACAACGACAAACACAGAAAGATTCTTCAGGACTTCGGATTCAAGGACATAAACAAATACAAGGATGGATCAAACAACAACTGAGAGTCTTCGCACGCACATCCGACAGTGCCTGGAGAAGCTGACAACCATAGAGTGGTCGCTTCTGAAATCCGGGTCACTCGAAAAGGAGACCGAAGAGATTATAACTGACATTTGTGTGGATATCGTGAATACGATATTCATCCACATATATGGGGTGTTTAGAGAGAGGCAACTTAAGGGGAAAGACACTCCAAAATCCTCCAAAAGCTCTCCTGGATCAGCCAGATCACAGAAGAGCAGTGTATCTGAAGACAACGTCCGCGGGTGTCTGGGAGACTTCATCTCTCTGGCCTTATCGGAGGCCACCGGTGTCCCAGACATCAGTTCCCGAAGCGCAGGGAAGCTAACGGACGCTGTGATTACAGAGGTCACAGACAGAGTCAATATGGTCTCCAAAAGCTCTGAGAGTAGTGGAGGTGATGAGGGGAGCAGACCTCTCATCTCACCTTCCTTCACTCAGAGACTAAAGACCATGGTCCGACATGTGGCCAGGATCTTGAAGAAGTGTGCCATAGAGAAACATCAGCAAAGCCTGACAACGGAGGCAGCGGAAAGCCAGATAACACTGGACAACTTGCCAGTGGAGGACCCAATGCTGGTTGGAACGGAGGAGTCCTGCTGCACCCCCGTTGTTCCTTCTCTTGATGAGACCGAAACAGAGTCTCCGAAGAGCTTCGTGGACAAAGTGACAGAAGCTGTAAAAATCATCGTACAAGACAGGGCCAAGATAATCAAACCAATTGATTACTTCGTCCAGGTTTCAGAGGAAGATGGCGAAATGTTCGAGTTTGAATCCTCCTACGACATGGATGAAGTGGCTTCTGCAATTGTCGTTGAGATAACTGAGGAGTTGAAACTCAATTCAGAAGGTTCACTGCCTGAATCGCTGGCCATAACCAAACAGACGTCCCACTGGAAAACAGTGGCAGCCAAACTTAAGGATTTTTATGCTCAGCGTTTTGCAATGGGGTCACTACTCGGCCTCATGGCAAAACTGAGGCGTAAATATAATTGCCTCCCAGGAGAACAGTCTTCTCTAAGCCAGCTGATGGAGGAGGCTGATGACGTAGTTAGGAGCATCATCTCATTGACTGAAAAGGATCTAAGGAGGATGAGAGCAGATGAGATCCCTGACGAAATAATCAATTCAGTTGGCAGCGATCAGGACAACACAGCCGCCTTAGAGCTTGGTGATTTAGTTTCTGAACACCTACAGCCAGAGGCTCCCATGGTGGACTTCCGCCTTCAAATACAGGCCGAAGTGGAAACCTTCATGGGACAGATAAGGCGATGGCTTAACATGCAGCTGATACGCCACAAACGTAGGAAGGACCATGCAACTCTGGTCATGAAAAAGATCAGGGAAGTGGTCTGTCAGACATCACTAGCTGAGACCCCCTCAGTCATAGGAAGTGGCTGTGTGACACCTGTAGGAAGTTGCTGTGTGACACCTGTGGAAGTTGAAACAAAACCACCTTCCACCCCCGTTCGCTCCCTCAAGTCACCAATGGGAGCTAAGACTGGTGACACCCTGGTGGTTGAAGAACAATCACCTTCCACCCCCGTTAGGTCCGTCAAAAAGTCACCGGTGGGAGCTAAGACTGGTGACACCCTGGTGGTTGAAGAACAATCACCTTCCACCCCCGTTAGGTCCGTTAAAAAGTCACCGGTGGGAGCTAAGACTGGTGACACCCTGGTTGTTGACGTAGAATCACCTTCCACCCCCGTTAGGTCCATCAAAAAGTCACCGGTGGGAGCTAAGACTGTTGACAGCCTGGTGGTTGAAGAACAATCACCTTCCACCCCCGTTAGGTCCGTCAAAAAGTCACCGGTGGGAGCTAAGACTGGTGACACCCTGGTGGTTGAAGAAGAATCACCTTCCACCCCTGTTAGGTCTGTCAAACAGTCACCGGTGGGAGCAAAGACTGTTGACAGCCTGGTGGTTGAAGAACAATCACCTTCCACCCCCGTTGGGTCCGTCAAAAAGTCACCAGTGGGAGCTAAGACTGGTGACACCCTGGTGGTTGAAGAACAATCACCTTCCACCCCCCGTTAGGTCCGTCAAAAAGTCACCGGTGGGAGCTAAGACTGGTGACACCCTGGTGGTTGAAGAAGAATCACCTTCCACCCCCGTTAGGTCCGTCAAAAAGTCACCGGTGGGAGCTAAGACTGGTGACACCCTGGTGGTTGAAGAAGAATCACCTTCCACCCCCGTTAGGTCCATCAAAAAGACACCGGTGGGAGCTAAGACTGGTGACACCCTGGTGGTTGAAGAACAATCACCTTCCACCCCCGTTCAATCCGCCAAGTCACCGGTCAGTGATGAAGCTGCGGTTGAGACTGCAGCACCAGCAGCCTATCAGTGGGACGATACCAGATGCAGGCTTATGGTCATTGCACTGATTCAGAACATAATGAAAAGTCCGATACACCTTCATCTGACTTGCAGTGACATCGAGGCAGTCAACAAGTCACTGGCAGAGACATTCCTGGAACAGATCACAGGTTCTGAGTTCGCTGTAAAGCCAAGTGGCCCGCACATCAAGAAGGTCGCCAAGGCGGTGCACAAGGAGTTGTGCAAGCTGACTGGTGATGCAGAGATCTTGAAGATGTGCCTGCTGTCCCGGGATGCATCTGTTTACAAATGCATAACTGAGACACTAACAAAGTATCTGGTGACGCCGCAGAAGAAGATCGGCGTGAAAAGACTCTTTTCATGTCTCTTCAAGACCGTGGCCAAGCCGTTCGCTGCTTGCTTCGGACGCAAAGAGTAATCTTCTGTAATCTGGGATGACACAGGGTTTACTCCGAGAGGCTTCGGTTCGCCCACATTTTAAGTATAATGAAAAAAATGTATCTCAGTTAAGAGAAGAACTGTCTGGTGGATCGCTCACAGGACATCAGGTATCATAGGGCCACACAGGTGCCTCAGTGTAACACTGTGGCCTTGCAGCTATAAGGTGAAGGTTCAATTCCAGCCTTTGACCCCCTTTTGCTGTGAGGAGTACAGAGTGCTCATTGTGTTGGCGTGGGTTTTCCCCGAGTAGCTTCGGTTTCCTCCCACATTTAAAAAAAAAAATTAACGCTTGAGCCAAACTTATAGCCATGTTTGGTCTACTCAGCAGGGAAGCTGAGGCCTATCCCAGCATGCATTCGTCGAACGGCGCCGAATTTAGAAAAAAACAACTTATTTTGATGCTTTAGGCATCAAAGTCTTCTAGCAAGTTCAGTTTTTAGACCTTGGTAGTTGTACAGCAATGCTAGTGAAAAAAACATTGAAAGTATTCTGGGTTAGGGTTATAAAACTGTAAACTATCTGTATTCATACTGTACTCAAAAATGGGCGGGGCTTCAACCTGAACTTGTTCATTTAAGCCTGAAATTGATATTGGATGAATATAAGTTGGATTCTGTCATTTTTGGCGATTTGCACGCTTTGTATTTTAACAAACTTCTCCTAGAGAATTGGTCAGTACTGTACAGTACTGAAGACGTTCACAATGAAAAAATATTGTTATCAAGTTATTTGCTGTGTCAGTGGCGTAGCGTTGAATTTTGATTTGCAGCTTTAATTGTTATTATTATTGTTCAATTCTTATCTATAAATAAAATTCAGTTTGCCAATGTTAAGTTGAGAGTGCATCTTACTCCTTTGTAGCTAGCTAACAGCAGGACTCTGTTACAACTCAGGAAACATTGTATTAAAAGTTAAGTCAGAAAACCCAATAATGCAAAAGTATCCAGTGACAAGACCGAATGAACCGACACAGAAGCAAGAAAACAAAGACTAAATACACACAATAGACAATAAGGGAGGAAGTAAATCAAAACAAGATTTTAAAATAAAACAGGAAATAACCAAAGAAAAACACAACCTTTATTGATTACTGTACAAAAACACAAACTTTATTGATTACTGTACAACAACACAACTTTATCAGTGATTTGGGTGCAACTGGATGTTTTAACTACTAATGTAGTTGCGGTTAGCGTTAGCAACCAAATGGGGCTCATCAGCCGTACTGTATTGATTTATGGAGTTTCCAGATGGACTTGTTGCTAAAAGAAGCTAACTGTCGCCAACAGTAATGTTAGCTGTTGTTAGCTAGTTAGCTTGTGCAGCTAACGTTAGCCCCGGGGTGCAACCACAGAGTGTGTGCGTTACTTACTGACAGCCAGTCGTCTGTCACTGTCCGTCTCCAACAGCAGCGCCTCCACTAGCTAACTGCCCTTCACACACACACACACGCACACACACACACACACACACACACACACACACTCTGGTGGCGCTGTTAGCTTCAGTTTAATGACATAGTTACAGAGAGAAGCAGCAGAATCTTTATTCTTATACACATTAGAAAGCGACAACTTCCTGTCCGGGTCTAGCCGTGGTCGTAGTGCGTCTCCTCAGAATCCGACGCTTCCTGTTGGTGATGACGACAAAGACGACGTCCACAGCTGCTCGGACACTCAAACACCTGCAGGAGATTCAACACAGTCAAACTTTAACATTCACACTTTAAGCATTTATCTGTCTAATAATTGACCCTTCATAAGCCCCGCCCCTTTCCCCTGCGCTCCAATCACGGTTGAACAAACAGCGATCAGCTTCCTCCTTTCCTGTGCTTAAATATGCTATATGCTAAGCTAATCTATCCTGAACCACATTTTGAAGATGGTTACAAGGTAAAAGAGATGTCTACTGTGCGCGTCACATGATGGACGCCATCGCTGTAATTACGCGCTTCGACCACCTGGCTCCTCCTGGGGGGGGTTCGGAGTCTCTCACCATGTTGCTCCTGCGTCCCCGGGTGATGATGCGTTTCCTGTCAGTGGACGAAATCCGTCTCTGTATCTGCAGACTGTAGAGAAACAAGACTCTCTTCGTCTCCCTCTGGCGGACAGACAGACAGACAGACAGACAGACAGACAGACAGCAGATATAATGTTTATCATCAATCAGTGCCAACATGTTCTGATGAGCAGCAGCTGAGGCTGATGGTAACGTCATTAGTTCTGCAGGGATTTACATTTTAACCAAAATATCGACACATTAAAATGTCGACCTGATGGTGGCGCTAGAGGAAGAGATCAATAAAGTTATTACAGTTCATCCTGAGGGCAATTAATTCTCAGTTCACATTCACAATCCATCCATATCGTGTGGCGGACCCTGCCACCTTAAATCATTCATTATTCTCTCTCTCTCTCTCTCTCTCTCTCTCTCTCTCTGTGTGGGTGTGAGTCACTGTCTCTCTACCACAGTCAGCAATGCTCTGTTTTAATGCTCTTACAATAATCTGCTCTCAGATCAGATCTGCTGCAGCTCACAGTGTGTGTGTGTGTGTGCGAATGAGATTGAACAATTTGCTTCTTTATCAGTATTATAAAACTCTATAAATGCTGTTGTTACTGCAGATGAGGCAGGTTTCTGTTAAAGGTTTTATATGAGACATTAAACATTATGTTCTCTATATAAAGACACAGAGTCACATGGTGTCTCTCTCCTTCTGCCTGTGTTGTATCGCAGCCTCTCTGTGGTTTGTTTCCATAGTCTACGTCGGTGAATTAAGGATTTATTTCCACCAAACCAGAGTTGGTGATTATTGGAAACACTAACAGGCGCTTTTTATTCCGTTTCTGTTCATGCTGAAGGACTGATTATCTGTGAGATACTGGTTTTATGAATGAAGTCTGGTGGGCAGTAGCAGCCATGGTTTTGGTCTGAGATGCTGCTGCTCTAGTGCGACATCTAGTGGCAGTGAATCATATGATATTTTACTTTTACGACTGTGTTTGAATCTGTTTTACCGTCGTATTGTTTTATTTAATTGTTCTGATCTTACGTCTTTTTTTGGAACATGTTTTATCATCCTGCTCTGCACTACTGCTGTACAAATAAAGTTATTATTAATAAGTTATTATTATTAAAGTGATTATTATATTTAGTTATTACTGCAGTATGACTACAAACTGCTGTTTTCCAGTTAAACTTTATTGTCATTAATATCAGTACATTACTATTACTATGAAAACAGTCACACACAGCTGCATGTTCTGACCTGTACGTGCATGCACAGATATTTGCACAGTTCAGTCACCTAAACATTATCATTAATACACTTTTGGCCAATTGTTTGTATTAAAAGTTGAGTAAGTATGTGCTACATTAACTTTTTATTTATTAGAAACAAATGAATAAATGGGTGCAATAATTATATTATATAATATTATATATTATATAATATAATATATAATATTATTTAATGTATTATATAATATTATATAATATAATATATAATATTATGCAGTTTGTCACTACAGCAGGAATAGAAGTCTTTGTGTATTTTGGGTGAACTGCTCCTTTAAAGCCCTCGAAGGATCTCTGAGGATTTCTAGGAGCTGCAGTGTGTGTGTGTGTGTGTGTGTACCTTGGGGTAGTAGAAGGCAGCGATGACCCGTCGGAGGCGGTTGGTGTAAACCTGCAGGCAGCTGAAGAGCGCCATCAAGAGGACACAACACACACAGCTCACATACACTCCTACAGAGAGTGAGGAGGGGGGAGACACACACACTGAGGGGGGGGGGAGAGAGAGAGAGAGGTTGCGGTATTATCGGTGGTGGAAGAAGTATATTCAAAATCCTACAACAGAATTAACAGTAAAATATATTTAAAGGTTTTATATGAGATATTAAACATTATACTCTCTATATACAGAGTCACATGGTGTCTCTCTCCCTCTGCCTGTGTTGTATCGTTTGTTTCTATAGCCGGTCTGCTTCGACTGAAACTGCTGTTTTTATCATCTACGTCGGTGAATTAAGGATTTATTGCCACCAAAGCAGAGTTGGTGATTGTTGGAAACACTAACAGAGACGCTTTTATTCTGTTTCTGTCCACTCTGAATGAAGTTACCATGATCTGTGAGGTAAAATTACTGGTTTTATGAATGGAGTCTGGTGGGCAGTAGCGTTTTTAGGTTAGATGTTAAGTTAAGGTGGCATAGTGGTTTAGACAAATACCACAAAACTGCATTTAATTATTATTAACATAGAGATTATAGCCTAACTGACTGAGTCATTGTGTGACCTTTGATGTACCCTGGTTGTCGGTTTGGATGTTGAGGGTGGATGAGCTGTTGAAGGCTGAAACCGTCTTCCTCAGGAGGCGGGCCATCATGGAGTCTCCTTCCACTCTGATGTCCACCTGGTGACTCCCTAAAGAGAGGACTTCATTACCCAGAAGCCCTGTAAAGCTGGAGTTCCATCTTAAAGATACAGAGTGCGGAGGGAATGACTTATTTTTGTAGTCGAACCCTGAAGTTAGCATCACTCTGGTTACTTCCACAAACAACCAATGGGATTGTTCCATTGGAAGTTGGATTACGTTATGCTACAAACAAACCACCACAGTCACATGACTCTACCACCACTAAACTTCAAACTCGTAATTAAATCTTGTAATTAAAACCTACAAGTTGTAAAGTTTGAGTTAGATAGTTTGCAAGAACTAATATGGCTTTAAACACTAATGGGAACAGCTAATGTAGCTTTAAACACTGATGAAGTCAAGGCAGAGTAGTGAGTAGATCAGTCTCCATGTTTTAATTTCACAGACAAAGTTAGCAACCAACTTTTTTAAGACAAGTCAAAACTTCAACATATAGGCAGTTTTTATGTCGTAGAACAAAAAATGTTAACCACAGACTTTATTTCAGACATCTAACCAAAAACACACTGAATACAGGAGAAAGAACCAGAAGGGCTAAAATGCTAACTCAGATCCGGTTTTTAGGACTCGTTCCTGCAGCAATATTTTATTGCCCTATTTCAAAGTGTTAAAATGGAAATAATCATCAGCGATATCTTTATACGCAGATGATACTCAGCTTAGCTGCTGCTAACATTAGCTCAGCTTGTTTCTCTGATAACTTAAGATCCAGACGTCTGATGACTAGAATCCTTCATCCGGTTCAAATCTAGAGTTAAAAAGCACCAAGATCTAAACAGTGGATGGTAACAATGTGGCTTCACACTGGAGTGTGTGTGTGTGTGTCTTTGTGTGTTTACTGGTCAGGTTGAACTGGGTGAAGGTGTGTCTGCTGACGATGTCCAAAACGTGGAACAGAGAGAAATCGACACTCAGCAGGATGACAGACAGCAGAAAGGCAGACAGCACCTGAAAAACACCTGAAGTCTATCACACACACACACACACACACAAACACATACACACACACACACACACACACACACACAAACACACACACACACACACACACAAATGTTACAATCATTGAGAAGAGTTAAACTATTGTCTACTAATCAGGTTCTCAAATCTTTATGTCATTTGGAAGTTTAAAACATATCCGTCAGTCTGAACGTGAACACTCTCTAATGGACATTATTATTAGTGTTACAGGTGAACCCACCACTTGTTTGAGCTCTTCGGGGTGGATTTTTAGACTCCAGGGGTTGATGAACTTCTTCTCCTCTGATTGTTTCAGAGGCAGCAGACAGCGCTTCCCCTAAACACACCAGACAACAACACACGAGAGGACAAATGGTTTGTGCTCAGCTTTGATGCTGTTTTATGCCGTGCCTCGTTGAAATTGGATGTTCAAAAAATGTCCTAAAGTTGAACGACTCTTTTAATAATCAATAATTCCATAATATCAGAAACGTGCTTTTGCTAGTCAACTAGGGGAACCTTTAGTCGGGGGCAACCCTAGTGTAAAGTAGTCAGTGAAATTATCCCTGTTTTACTATTGTTTTTGATGTTTTTTTGTTTTTTTAATAATAATGTACTGGGTAGTTTTGGCCATGGTGCCCCAATACATTTGTATTAATTAAAGACCAAAGTGGCCTTGCCTTAAAATGAGGTAATTCCAGGCCATGTGGTTTTACTGAAGTTAAATCAAACTGTAGCAGAGATGATGAAGATGATAATGTTGTTACCGCTCTCCTCCTGCGGGCATCGATCTGTCTGAAGTAGGTGGTGATATAGATATTGTCGAATCGGACGTCCTGCCTGTACTTTCTAAGGTAACTGAACGCCCTGAGGAGGAAAAGGAGGAAGAAGAGGAGGATGAAGAGGAGGCGATGTTTGTCTGTTACTCAGCAGAAAGAGCAGCAGAGAGCTGATGTCAGAGATCTTACTGTGTGAAGATGGTGATGAAGGTAAAGGACAGCAGAAGCTGCATGATGTTCAGCAGCTGCTTCATAGTCATGGTCAGTTTCTGGAAGGATCCTCTAACAGCCTCAGTGAACTCCTGATCCAACAGAGCTCCGCCCAACACCGACTGCTGCTGCTGCTCCTGCAGGAGGCCAGGATGCAAAGATTTATTTAACTGGACACTTAACAGAGAATTTGTCCTGAGGGTGGTGTTAAAAGTAAGGTGGAGACCTTCAAGATGAGTTCGGTTCTGAACTCTCCTGAGAGCTGAGAGACTGAAAGGTTGAGCTGATCAAACAGCTGACCGAAGTTTCCTTCTACAGGGATCTGTTCTCTGCACCACGGAGTCATCACTGACAGAGGAAGAGGAGGAAAAGAAAAAGAAGAAGTCAAGGCCATGATACACCGGGCCAATCCTAATCACTGATTAGAGATAAATCATTTAAGGCGTATTGAGGGTCTAAAATGTTTAACATGATCACTTTATTACTGTAACTCTCAAAGTTTAGGTCATTATCAATGACACTGAAGTGACTTTGAGACAGTCCAACCATGGATTTATGTAACAGATGGATGCAATGAAGTTGTCAATGGGAGTACAATCAGAGATATACAACAGAGTATCGTCTGCATATTGGCTGATGTTATGCCACTCATGTTTTAAGGTCTTCAGATGGAAATCTGTGGCAATCCTCTTTGATACCTACTACATACTGTTATTGTTGATAGCTAAATGTAGCTAAATTAGCGTAGTCATAACTTTATACCCTAGCCTTAAATTAAAACTGAAGTTAGCTGATACATCCAATCTGTGCCAATGCTCTGCCATGTCTGTGCCTTCCTGTTAAGGTAAAATTGTATCTCGCTGTGTTCCACTGTCACATACGATAAGAGCAAAATTTCAGTCTTGTTTTAACGACAGCTGCCACTTGTCGCCAGCATATACAGAGTAAACCTGTTAACTTATGCTGAAACTTTACAGGTAAGATGTTATAAAAGTAATATATTACTTACTATATTTTGGTAATATTATTACATCACTTGTTGCAGAAAAACAAGAAGGTGGTCTACAGGCCTTACTGTACAAAAACACAGTTTTATAACTTTAAGGGATATGGGCCACTGAATTTGACAGATTTACTGTTCATCAGACCACAAAGGAAACAAGTATTAGGTTGGAAGAAACTTGGTTTTTACTTGTTGCTAGGGAAACCTATAACTGTAGCACTACATTATGACCCTGGCCAGTGTGACCTTTCACCTCTCATGACATCACACAGGAAGTGGAACTTCATGGAGACACAGAGGATGTGGTTGATAACGGGGACAGGGATAGCCTCCATACACTCCGCCCACCTGAGGCCGAACCAATCAGCACATCGCTGCACGCCGCCATCCACCACACCTGGATAACGCACACACTCATTAACTGTTACGTCAGTTTTAAAACCCTAATTAATGTTTAAGACGTCACCTCACTCACTGTCACACTGCATCATGGTCTTGGTGGTGAACTGCTCCTGTGTGCTGTTACCGGTGTGTTTAGGTTTGAATCGGTCGTATCCGTACTGTAGGACGACCTCGTCTCTGATGTTCTGAAAGTTCCTGCTGACGCTCAGAGACTCCGACTGAAACTTTGCTTCATCATCCTGAACCAGAAACAACAGATGGACAAATGACCTCTGACCCTGAATGCTTAAACTCCTTAAAAATAACTTTTTTGATGGTTTGATGACCCCATAGATTAGCCTAGCACATAGCATATCTAAGTACAGGAAAGGAGTATGTTGACCGAGGCTTGTTCAACTGTTATTGGAGCAAAAAGCAAAAAGGGGCGGGGCTTAGGAAAGGTCAACTGAGCGCTAAGCCCTGCTTTGTGAACGTAGCCTAAGAACACAGAGCCGTTAGCTCCCTCCGTCTGTCTCACCATGAGCTCCTGTGTGATGAGTATGAACGGTCTGATGGCGTCTCTCCACAGTAGCTTGCTGTGATGAACCTGCAGGTCGAGGTTACAGCTCAGAGACAGCGCGGCCGTCTCTGCGTTACGCTGGATGTTAGAAACCGGTCCTGCAACACAATCACAGCAACACATCCACTGTCTGTGGTTAATGACCTAATAATATAATATTCCACCAGTGAGTGTGTGTGTGTGTGTGTGTGTGTGTGTGTTCACCTCTCCAGAGCAAAGACAGGATGAGCAGCATCAGGTACGCTCGACCGCGGGAGCCGAGCATGCTGGGAAACATCAGGAGGACGGAACATCTGGAGGACGAGGACAAGGCTCCGCCCACAGCGCACAAAGCTGGAAACAAATGTGTGCGTGAACATTTGTGTGTGTGTGTGTGTGTGTGTGTGTGTGTGTGTGTGTGTGAGAGAGAGCGACTCACCCACAAACACTCCTCCTGCTGCCAGCTGGAGGTCAAAGGTCAGTGGGAGGGTGTGGCAGAGTCCCAGGAAGAGAACTGAGGACAACAGGAAGCACATGGACGGTTATGTATAAGTCTCTTTCCTATCATGGTAAAAAAAAATCCTTTTATGATAAATAAAAATAATACAATAAAATAATAAAAACTATATGAAAAGAAGAAATTAAGTAACATTTTAATTTGAAATAAGATAAAATAAAAAAATAATAAAATTAATAAACTAATACATTTTAAAATCTCTCCACATTCTCTACTGTTCACTGACTTTACCATATTTACTATACTGTGCAGAGGTTGGGGGCAATACTTACAAATGTACAATACAATCTCTATCCATACTACAGAAAAGAGCCATAATAATTCATAATACTGGTTATAGAGACCACACAAATTCACTATTCTTAAAATCAAAAACATTAAAAGTCACTGACCTGGTTAATTTCCAAACTGCACAAATCATGTACAAAGCAATAAACAATCGACTTCCTGGAAATATTCAAACATTGTGTTTTTTTACAGAGTTATAATCTGAGGGGTGAGTTCAACTTTAAACATCAGCGGCCATGTACAACATTAAAAAGTTTTTGTCTTTCAGTTTGTGGAGTAATGTCCAAGCAGGATCCAGTTTAAAAAGCAGTACAAACACATGGTTTTAACAAGGTACAGGGAGAAAGAAGGGCTTTAACAATCGGCTGTTTTCATAAATGATTTATGTATTTGTTTATTTGATCTATTTATGTTGGGGAGAAAGAGTGTTAATTGGGTAGTGGAGAAGGGGTAGGTTTAAATAAGCATATGCTTCATCCTAGTCCTTTTTGGACATGTGGGTTCACATTATTACTTTTGTTTTGACTATTGATATTGTTGTTTGGACTATTTTCAGTGGATTTGTTTGTTTGTCAGTTTACTTTGTTGTGTTACTCGCACATGTTCGAAATAAAAAGAGAAAGAAGAAAGAAAGAAATCTTAAAATAAACATTCAAAAATAAAATAAAACATTAAACATTTTAGAACATTAGAAACAATTTCTTTAAAGTTAAAACAAAAATAAATAAACATTTTAAAACAAAACAATTTAAAAAAACAACAATGGAGAATGCTAACAATGCTAAAGGTTAAGGCTAACAGTCTGTTAGTGAAGAACTGTTTGTTACTGTTACTCATTGATCTTCCATACCTGTCCCACTCACTGCTCCAAACAGCGCCCTGAGGACCAGGTGAGCCACCTGAGGCTCTTCTGATTGGCTGAAGAGGAATCGATGGACGGCAGGAGGCAGCACGGTCAAACTGATCCTCTCCACAGCTGAAACACACAGTTGCTAGCGTAAGCTTAGCTTCAGAAGCACAGTCAGTCCAGTAACAGTCTGGGAACTTACTGCTGTGAGGAGCTGGAGGTGAGTGCAGGTGAGTCATGATGCGTTCAACCTGTCTCTGAACAGCCTGAAGCTGTTGAACAGTTGGAGTCAGTTGGAGCTTTTGGAAGCTTCGGTGACATCAGCTGTCTCTGGTCTCCATGGAGACAGGAAAAAACAGACACAGACACAAAAAAGAAAGGATGAAGAGTGAGAAAAGGACGAGACACCGGATGGAAACTGATGTTAAAGTCCAGGTGAAGAAGGGCGGAGTCACACAGGCTGTCAGAGGAGTCCTGAACAGGTGAGTTCACACAGCTATTAGCTAGCAGGGGGGCAAAGTCCCGACCCTCCTTTCTGTGCCTCTGATTGGCTAGCACTCATTGCTATCATTGGTTTGGTTGGTTAGGTTTAAGCATGAGGAGAAGGATTGGTTAGGATTAGGGTAAGAATGTCAGGATAGGCCAATCAGAGGGAGAGATAGATGGGTGGGTCTTCCTGTACTTAGATATGCTATGTGCTAGGCTAATCTATGTTGAAAAGATGACATATATATATATAGTCACATCTTAAGTTAGGGTTAGGGTTAGCTAATGTTAGCAAAACGAATCAGGTTTCAGGTGTAACTCGCTAGTTAATGATTGAGGTAGATTAGCTAGTTAGCTAGCATTTCCTAACATTAGCTTTAAGATGTAACTTGCTAGCTAACTTGGTTTCTAACTTTAACTCCGTGTTAATTCAATTCAATTCAATTCAATTTTATTTGTATAGCTCCAATTCATAACAGAAGTTATCTCAGGACACTTTTCAAATAGAGCAGGTCTAGACCGAACTCTTTAACATTAATTACAGAGACCCAACAGTACCACCATGAGCAAGACCTTGGAGACAAGGGCAAGGAAACACTGCCTGTTAAAAGGCAGAAACCTAGGACAGATCCTCCGGCTCTAGGTGGGTGGTCGTCTGCCTCGACCAGTTGGAGAGAGAGAGAGAGAGAGAGAGAGAGAGAGAGAGAGAGAGAGAGAGAGAGAGAGAGACAGAGAGAAAGAGAGAGACAGAGAGAGAGAGAGACAGAGAGAGAGAGAGAGACAGAGAGACAGACAGACAGACAGGTGCACAGCAACAACAGTATTGGCAATGGCAGTCAAGCAGGACCATGGCAGGAGGCTCCACCAGGATCGACAAGAACCTGTGAGACGAAAAGCACAAGAACTCCGGGGAAGAAGTGAAGTTAGTAACATGCATTAATGGAACATGAATGAGTGCAGAAAGAGAGAGGAAGAGAGTAGCTCAGTGCACCATGGGAAATCCCCCGATAGTCTAGGCCTATAGCAGCATAACTAAGGGATGGTTCAGGACCACCGATCCAGCCCTAACTATAAGCTTTATCAAAGAGGAATGTCTTAAGCCTACTCTTGAATGTGGTGAGGGTGTCTGCCTCCCGAACCACAACTGGAAGCTGGTTCCACAGGAGAGGAGCTTGGTAACTGAAGGCTCTGGCTCCTGTTCTACTTTTAGAGACTATAGGAACCACAAGTAGCCCAGCATTCAGAGAACGTAGTGTTCTAGAGGGGTAATAGGGTACTATGAGCTCTTTAAGATATGAAGGGGCCTGACCATGAAGAGCTTTATAGGTGAGGAGGAGGATTTTAAACTCTATTCTAATGTCATCTTTGCATCATCAGGTCGGCAGGACGCTCTCGCCGCAGCAGCGGCTGGAGGCAGGTTAAAGGCCACCTGTCAAAGGAGGGGCGGAGCCTCGTAGCGTTTGTTTTCGGGCTGCTGTTGGCGTCTCTGTACGGAGTCACAGCTCTCTTCCTTCAGAAACAGCCGCTGTGGTTGTGCGTGTACACCACGCTGGCGGTGGCCGTGCTGGCAGCCTTCGGCACGGGCCTCTCAGCCGGCATCCGGGCCGACGTCATGGTTATGCTGCCCTCGCTGTGCTCAGGTCAGTTTGTGAATGTCGTCAATCACCTGTCAAACAAACTATCCTGATCAGGGAGTGGCTTCTGGCGTGGGCGTGTCCTTGCTCCGGCCAATCACAGTCCTTCCTACTCACTCTTGCGTTTCAGCTCACGGCAGGAAATTCCTCCTCTTCCTGTTTGCCTCGGTTCTGCTGTCCGGCCCGCTCTCCAACACGCTAGAAAACACGGAGCGAGCCGCCGCCAGCCTGCTGTGCGGAGCCGAGCTGGCAGCCAATCAGACGCAGGAACTGATGCAGAGAGCTGCCACGCCCCTTTTCTGTAAGAGTGAGATTTTGAATGTGGTGAGGTGTTGACTTTGATGAAATTAATCTGAAACTGTAATTTTGTTGATGTTTATTCAGCTGTGTTGGACCGAATCAGAGAGATCAGCAGTAACGCTCTCTCAGTGGCGGGAAGAGTCCAGAACCTCTTCGGCGCTCTGACTGACAGCGTCCGCCATGTTGGTGAGTGACACTGCCGAAGAAGAACCTGAACATCACTCAACTTTCTTTACCGTCTCTAAAAGTTCTTCAGGAAGTTCTCAAGGACCTTGACAATGTTCCTTGAGGTGGTAATGGGGTTGTTCTAAGGACCTTGAGAAGGTTCTCAATAAGGTTCTCAGAGGCACTGAATAAGTTTTAGGGGTCCTTGAATAGGATAAACTGAGGTTTAAGGGTCTTGAGGAGGTCATGGAGTCATTCTCACTGAATAAAATACAATCTTTAATCACAACAAATGAATAAAAGCAAATATTTTGAGTAAATATGGAACCCATAGTCATGTGATCCACCTCTGACCTCTGACCCTGCAGCTCGTACCCTGAGGAACGTCCTCCACTTCCTGGTGGACATCGGAGACGTGTGTAACGTCAAACTGGGCTCTCCGTACAGGAAGTGCCGGGAGGTGTTCGCAGACGCTCAAGCCGACTGCTCCGACCTGCTGGGAGAGTTCAACTTCCTGTGTGACATCGTGGACGGTTTCCTGCCGCTCTGCAACCTCGCCCGCGGTGCGTTCAATGACATCCCTTAAAGGACCTGTGCACTGATTTTACACACCCACTTCCTGGTTGTAGACCAAACAAATCACTGACGGATTATTTTATAATTAAAATGCTTCTTACAGTCACATTATTCATCTAAATATATTTTCAATTAGTATTCAGTTCTAATTTTCAAAGCTTGTGTTTCAGCTGGCGAGCTCTTCTGCCTCATCCCGTCCTACATTGCCGAACATCTGAAGAAACGTCTGGCAGCTCGTAAGTTCTTGTCTTTATTGTTCATTGACAACCTTGATCCTGCCGCTGAGCCGTCTGTCCTCCTACAGCCACCGTTGCAGCGTTTCAACGAATGAAGCGAGAGTTTGAGTTCAATATCTCGGCCTCGATGACCTTTGACCTGGACGCCAACAGCAGCCACTCTGTGCAGCAGGTGTCTCAGGACATCATGGAGGAGGTTTCATCAGAGCTGCGGGTGTTTGAGAAGCTGCGAGAACTGCTCACGTATGGTGGCCTAATCCTTCTCGCCTGCTCCTTCCTGAGGTCAGGACTCACGCTTCAGTTTACCTCATATACACGCTTCAGTTTACCTCATCTGTACGCTTTAGTTTACTTAATATACACACTTCAGTTTACTTCATCTACACGCTTCAGTTTACCTCATCTGTACGCTTTAGTTTACTTAATATACACACTTCAGTTTACTTCATCTACACGCTTCAGTTTACCTCATCTACATGCTTCAGTTTACCTCACCTACACTCTTCAGTTTACCTCATCTACACTCTTCAGTTTACCTCATCTACACTCTTCAGTTTACCTCATCTACACACTTCAGTTTACTTCATATACACGCTTCAGTTTACCTCATCTACATGCTTCAGTTTACCTCATCTACACGCTTTAGTTTACTTCATCTACACACTTCAGTTTACCTCATCTGCATGCTTCAGTTTTTACACCCTTTCAATCAACATGCTAATGTTATCATGTTAGCGTTCTAATATTAGCATGTATTGATTTTTTGCCCAACAAGAGGTAAAAATAAAAAATGTATGTGTGTGTGTGTGTGTGTGTGTGTATGTGTGTGTCTGTGTGTGTGTGTGTAATGTAACTGTGTGTGTCTGTGTGTGTGTGTGTGTGTGTGTGTGTGTGTGTGTGTGAGTCTGTGTGTGTGTGTGTGTGTGTGTGTGTGTGTGTGTGTGTGTGTGTGTGTGTGTGTGTGTGTGTGTGTGTGTCTGTGTGTGTGTGTGTGTGTGTGTGTGTCTGTCTGTGTGTGTGTGTGTGTGTGTCTGTGTGTGTGTGTGTGTGTGTGTGTGTGTGTGTGTGTGTGTGTGTGTGTGTATGTGTGTGTGTGTCTGTGTGAGTGTGTGTGTGTGTGTGTGTCTGTCTGTGTGTGTGTGTGTGTGTGTGTGTGTGTCTGTGTGTGTGTGTGTGTGTCTGTCTGTGTGTGTGTGTGTGTGTGTGTGTGTGTGTGTGTGTCTGTGTGTGTGTGTGTGTGTGTGTGTGTGTGTGTGTGTGTGTATGTATGTGTGTGTGTGTGTGTGTGTGTGTGTGTGTGTGTGTGTGTGTGTGTGTGTGTGTATGTATGTGTGTGTGTGTGTGTGTGTGTGTGTGTGTGTCTGTGTGTGTGTGTGTGTGTGTGTGTGTGTCTGTCTGTGTGTGTGTGTGTGTGTCTGTGTGTCTGTGTGTGTGTGTGTGTGTGTGTGTGTGTGTGTGTGTGTGTGTGTGTGTGTGTGTGTGTGTGTGTGTGTGTGTGTGTGTGTGTGTGTGTGTGTGTGTGTGTGTGTGTGTGTGTGTATGTGTGTGTGTGTGTCTGTGTGTGTGTGTGTGTGTGTGTGTGTGTGTGTGTGTGTGTCTGTGTGTGTGTGTGTGTGTCTGTGTGTGTGTGTGTGTGTGTGTGTGTGTGTCTGTGTGTGTGTGTGTGTGTGTGTGTGTCTGTGTGTGTGTGTGTGTGTGTGTGTGTGTGTGTGTGTGTGTGTGTGTCTGTGTGTGTGTGTGTGTGTCTGTGTGTGTGTGTGTATGTGTCTGTGTGTGTGTGTGTGTGTGTCTGTGTGTGTGTGTGTGTGTGTCTGTGTGTGTGTGTGTGTGTGTGTGTGTATGTGTGTGTGTCTGTGTGTGTGTGTGTGTGTCTGTGTGTGTGTGTGTGTGTGTGTGTGTATGTGTGTGTGTGTGTCTGTGTGTGTGTGTGTGTGTCTGTGTGTGTATGTGTGTGTCTGTGTGTGTATGTGTGTGTCTGTGTGTGTGTGTGTGTGTGTGTGTGTCTGTGTGTGTCTGTGTGTGTGTGTGTGTGTGTGTGTGTGTGTGTGTGTGTGTGCAGGGCGGTGCGGTACAGACGCAGGTATCTCAGCGAGGTCGACTTTGACAACGTCTACATCAGCGCTCAGTTTGAAGAGCTCGACCAACAGGTGGCTTCAGGGGGCGGAGCCGCAGTCCTGCCAATCACACGCAGAGAAGCCAAGACCTACATCACACCATGTCAGTAGACCTGTCTTCATGGCCCCGCCCCCTTTTGGGTGAAAGCAGTCGCTCTAATTTGACTGAGATCTTTGTGAATTTAATAGCATCAAATTATAACAATAATCTTCTTATTATTAATCTTAATAATAAAATTAACAACAATCAAATTATAAAAAAATCCAAAACCTTATCATGTTCAGAATATGGTTGTCTTTTCAACATAGATTAGCACATATACGATCAATACCATATCAGTCACTAGCTAGTTAGCTAATCAATCATTGGCTGGCGTTAGCTAATGTTAGCAGTAACGTTTGCTAACTAGCGAGCTAATGTACATCAGTCGTTAGCTAGCGATGATGAGCTACCTTATTGAATCTCTGGTGATTGATTGGCTAATGAACGATGTGTCTCTACGACTGTTTCGTCAATAAAGTTTCTGTCTTTGTCCCGCAGTGTCGTTTCAGCTGACGGCCCGAGAGCGGCGGGCGGTGTTGGTGGGCGTGGTCTCGGTCCTCAGGCACCTGGTGATGGGCGGCCTGCTGGTGGCGCTGGACTTCCTGGTGTTCTGGATGCTGGACCAGGTGCACCACCAGGTGAAGGGGGACGTCGTGGCCAGAGGTAGGGCGAGCACTCCTAAAGCCAATTAGAGCCGTGATGATGTCAGTCAGAGTGGCGGTAACCGCGGTAACACCTCTTCCCCGTCAGCTCCGGTCACGGTGGCGCTGCAGGTGAACGGCTCGGGCTACGCCTCGGATATCTTCAGAGACCTGGTGGCCTCGTTCAACGTCCTGCAGGGAGGAAACGTCACCGTGGTCAGCAGGAAGTGTCTGCTGCAGCCGTCAGAGCCCAACTACGTCACCTGCTTCCTCCTAGGTAACAGGATATGACATCATCATATGACATCAGCAGAGCAGGAAGTATTGAAATCCTCTCCTGAAGTAAAAGTACGAACACTACGCTCACAAATACTCTGTTAGTAAAGTGAAAGTACAATGAGGTCTTGTGACGTCTCTACTGGTCTTAAAGGTCCCGGTTTGTGTTGCAGGGTTCCTGTTGGGTCTGGCCCTGCTGGTCTCTCTGAGCGGAGGATTCGTGCGGCGCTGCAGACGACTCGTCTGTGCTTCCTATCACCCAGAGAGAGAGCTGGTACACACACACACACACACACACACACACACACACACACACGACCCAAAGAGGCAGAGCTGAATGAAGGCTGGTCACTGAAAACAGTCACCTGTCACTACAACGCCGACCTGAATTATGCCGACCTCTATTGATACTGACGCTGTATTGACAGCATGACGGCCTTTAGCTGACGTTGTTAGTCTGATTATTGCTTTAATAATGTGTGTATTGATTACTGACGCTTTTATTTTGGTATCTTGGTAAATCCTGCGCATGTATTTTATTTTGGAGGGTTTTGCACAATGGCCACAGACACAGAGGTTATGTCAACCCATCAGTGACATGTAGCAGCCTGACGGCACCTCCTGCGAGCCCCCCTGCTCTCACTGTAAAGATCACAGACAGACAGACAGACAGACAGACAGACAGACAGACAGAGGAAGAGCAGCTGCTGTGGGTGGAAGGTCACGGAGCACAGAGGAATCTGAAGACTCTGCAGAATGAGAGTCTGAGAGCAGCAGACGGGCGGCAGGTCTGAACCTGCACAGTGAAAGCAGCAAGCAAAGGAGCAACCAGCTGTGTCAACCGGAAGTCACTGTAGCATCACAAGCTTCCAGAAATGAGAGTTTTAGAGGCTGAAAGATCAATTATTTCTGCGTGCTACGTGGAGACGCCTGTGTCTTTCAGAGTTAAAGCCTTCGCACGCCAAGTCCTTAATTCTGCTTGAAAGAGTCACAAAATCAGAATCAGAATTATGTTTATTTCTCGTCCTGGTGCTTAAAATATACAAATCACACAGAAAAATGAAAGTACTTTTAAAATATAAATAAAATAAAGTTAAGAAAAGAAAAAGTGTGCAGCAGACGGGAGTGCATTAATGTAATGTATATATACAGGGTGGGTGTAAGAGTCAGTGTCAGTGCGGGTTCAGAACTTTGGTCTGTTACTGAAGTCTTTAAAGGTTCCATTTTCCTTCTGGCTTCTTTAACTCCTCTTTCTTTAATTTTCCTTGGCCCTTTTGGCACCCATCAAAAGAAACTGAGGATGAGGACAGCACAGAGACAAAGGGGGACAGACAGTTCAGTGTTTATCTGGAATATGAGATCCTGCTCAGTACGTCACCGCTGCCGGCTGCTAATCAGTGGCGAGGTTCCTGTTTTATTCTGCTCTAAATACACTGCGGTGTCACTGTGGAACCGCCGCAGGCTAACAGCCACTGACACACTCTGTTCAGGTTCGCTCTGTTGTTTCAACACGTCCGTTTATCTGTCCTGTCTCTGCTGTGGCCTTTATCCTTCAGTCAGACAACACGCTGTAAGACGAGCAGATAAAGACCTCGGCTGAATGTGTGCAGGAGAAAGAAAGTGAAACATAAAACTGATGATGTGTGTCCCTGTTGTTCAGGAGAGGATCCGGTTCCTCCGGCAGCAGATCCTGGATCAGAGGAGGACGGTTGGGAAAGCCCTGATGAGGTCTGCAGCCAGGAGGTGGGCTGATGGAGGAGGAGGAGGAAGAGGAGGAGGAGAGAGCCGCCTTCAGACTCTCCTGCTGTGGTACAAACACCTTCCAGAGACAGACTTTCTGTTTTTTTATCATTTCAATATATTTGTAAAATTCTGAAGTTTGGTTGTTGGTGTTACTTTGTCACTTTTCCTAAGTCCCGCCCCTTTTTGCTCCGTGCTCCAATGACAGTTGAGCCTCTGCCAACTTCCTCCTTTGACTTAGATATGCTACGTGCTAGGCTAATCTATGTTGAAAAGCTGACTACATATTAAAGCTCCAGTGTGTCACAGTAATATAATATTAATAGCTTTGTTTTCATTAGTGTTTAATCAGCTGATAATAAGAGTCGTTGTGTTTTTGTTACCGTCGAGTGTCTTTATCTACAGCGGCTCCTCTTCTGGCGGAGTCCGCCATATTGAATCTCCATGTTTCTACAGTAGCCCAGAACGGACAAACTCTGGATGTAGATAGGAACTGTTCCTGTTGTTTTAGTGGAGGATGAAGCGAGGGAGCTTGTGTATGCTTTTGTATCTTCTGAAATAAATCTGTCTGTCTGCCTGTCTGTCTGTCTGTCTGTCTGTCTGTCTGTCTGTCTGTCTGTCTGTGTCTCAGGTTACCTGGAGGTGCTCACCTGTCTCACCTGCTGGGTCTGTCCTCAGTCAGCTGTCTGGCCTGCGGCGAGGTGGTGAGACAGGGGGAGGAAAACATGGCCGCCTGTGACGTCCCACAGTGCTCAGGTAGTGTGATGTATTGATTATAGATTATAGGAAAGATTTACTTGAGGCATTTATATCTCATTTCATTCTGAAAGTCTCATTTCAGAGCTTGTACTTTATTACTTTTACTTGAGTACAGAGTCTGTCCTTTACTGTTCCTGGAGTTGTTGACTCACTGATATCTTGTGCACTGAAACCAGGAAGCAGGTCACCTTTAACTGGTCACAGTCCAGTGTGGACTGAGGGAGGAAATATTTAAAAAGGTGTAAAACCCTTAAAATGAGTGCAGCACTGCCTCTGTGTGTGTGTGTGTGTGTGTGCGTGCTGAGGGAGTGTCCTGTTGTTGACTCAGCTGAAGTCACAGATAACAGACCTGAGGCCAGTTAACCCTCCAGTGACTCACTGACTCAGACAGAACGTTTCTGAACCTGAAATGATTTTTTATGTGCGACTCGAGCTCCGATCAGGAACACAAACAGTTAAAGATATTTACAGTGTAAACAATGATCTATAAATCCAGGTGAACTCTGCTATAATACAATAATCAGACTTACATTTACAGCAGAGTGCTGTTATTATTGGATTGTTATTATTTTAACGTGAATGTTAAAAGTTCTAGAAGTGTAATAAAAGTCATTATCTGTGAGATTACAGTAATTATTGCTGTTTACACTGATAACAACTGTATTTGGACAGTTTACCTTATACACTGATAAACAACATTTATTCTACTTCCATCATTATACAACATATCTGTCAGTTAACTCACTAATACATTAAAATTACACAACTAATACTTTTTACTGTTTTTTATAATTTTATAAATATATTAACAGTTTGAAACTTGACTTCAACAGTTTAATCTATGAAATAAACAGATTATAGATTTGTAAAATATATTTTGATCTTTTTATGTGAAAAAAGATTTTCTTATTGATGTATTTTCTTATTGATTGATTGATTGATTGATCACTGGTAGTTCAGGGACATTCAGTAAATATGAGGATTATTAGCAGGATTACCATTTTTAAACTACCCTGAGCCGAAGGTCAGGTTGTCGTCTGACAGGAAGGATCAATAAAGTTACAGTTATTTTAATATTGTGATATGTGGATTCAGTGGCTGACCTCGGCGACCCTCCCGACCCCGTCCACATCCTGTTGTTTCTGTCTCTTTTGTTTTTGCAGGCCTGTACTGTCGGCCATGTTTCCACCGTTTGGGAAACACGTGTGTCGTCTGTGTGCGACCTTTGACCTTCCAGGAAGACGGCGAGGAAGAGCTGTGAGTGTCCGCTATAATAACTTGTAATAATACTGGAGGAACTTATCACAGATAAACTGAAAACTACTTTACTGTGCTTCAGGAGATATAAAATACTTGTGAGGGAATATCGGAGAGTTACGTTCACAACCGACAGTCCTCACGTGTAGTTAAACACTTTCTGCCACTAGGGGGCCTCGGACATCCAAACAGGAAGTTTGATGAGGTGGTGAAGCAGTGTGGGATCATGGGAGTTGTTGTCTTCACCACCATTGGCGTCATTGCAGTCAGCTTCTCCCGGTTAGGATTCCTTCAGTGTTCATGGTTCAGGAGGTTTCTACCGGGAGCCCAATGATCCACAGAGGTCTCCTCCTCTCCAACACAAACAGACCCGCTGATTAAAACCACTAAACACACTGAATAAAGCAGTTCCACCTTAAACACACTGAATAAAGCAGTTCCACCTTAACAATCACTGCTTCTCCCATGCTGACCAGACGTCCGATGACTAAAATCCTTCATCCGGTTCAAATCTAGAGTTAAAAAGCACCAAGATCTAAACAGTGGATGGTAACAATGTGGCTTCAGACTGGATCAACAGTCAATGTATGACAGCTTCTGGCAGACAACCACAACGCTGACGCAGGCACAAAGGGGATATGACGCCATCGACAGGCGACTGAGTTTGAACATTGTTGGAAACATTTGGGATAATGCAGATTATAACTATAAAACAAGTATATCTCCGTCCTTACTGAAGTAAAGGAGCTCTTCCACCAACTGTTGATCTCCTCATTGTGAATAGTTTAAAGATCTTCTGACAAGAAAACAGAATTCATGTAATTATTTATCAGATTTAAATGTGAACTGTTTCTCTCAGTGACTCCAGTGAAGACGAGCTGCGACCTGCAGCTCTGACCTCGACCCTCGTCACCGACCGCAGAGCCAGGAAACTGAGGAAGAGGACGATCTCCACGGCAACGTACCGACACTCAGACAGTCGAGTGGGAACGCCAAGAGTAGAGGACGGAGCGGAGAGCGAGAGCAGCGGAGTTCAGTCTGACTGCAGGTGGAACATTTATTCATTCATATTCGTTCATTCCTGCTGTTCCTCAGGATTAAAACCTCTGTTTTCCCACCGTCAGTGAAGCAGACATGACGTACCAGGACCGACCCGGGTCAGACGACGGCGACGACTCCTTTTACTCCAGCACCTCGACCAAAACCTGCACCCTCCAGGACCCGACCCTCCAGACAGTCACCGTACATACACCTGACTGTCCCCAAAACCTCCAGGACCCTCCAGGACCCTCCAGAACCCTCCGGGACCCTCCAGGACCCTCCAGAACCCTCCAGAACCCTCCAGGACCCCACAGGACCCTCCAGGACCCTCCAGAACCTTCCAGGACCCTCCAGGACCCTGCAGTCCTGATTTAGACCTGTCTGTTGGGTTCACTTTGTGATTAAAGTCATTGCAGCATTAACAGATCAGATCTGGTTCTTTTCCTGCAGTCGTTGATTCTGACCCTCACTCTGATGTTCTGGAGCTTTCAGCAGAACTTCGGTCTTCCTCAGTTTGTTCAGTAAGGGGGACGTTGAGTCTTTGTATTACAGCAGTGTTCACTGTACTTACAGCCCATTGTATTGTTTTACAGTGTAAATATCAAAGTACAGCTAAAAGTCATTTTCAGTTGTTTTATAAAAGTTTATTATATATTCTATATTATTATCATTATATATTATTATATATATATTATATCATATATATTATTATTATATGAATCTCACTCAGCAACAGGTTCTCCATCGGTCCCTTTTCTCCTCACTGCTTCCAGCTTTACTCATTCATTTCACTCACTCATAAACTAAAACATAAATCACAGGTTTCTATATGAATAGATATGAATATATAATATACATTCATATAATTATATTATGTTATATTAATTGATATAATTATATTAATATATAATATATTAATGCTGCAGTGAAACCCCCGAAAACTGCCCCCACAACCCTGCAGGGGCAGATAGAGCCGGGGTGGGGCTGATAGCAGCGGACACACAAAGACACTTTAAAGACAAACAGTGTGTGTGTGTGTGTGTGTGTGTGTGTGTGTGTGTGTGTGTGTGTGGGAGGACTCAGTGACTCTCAGCAGTCTCACTGTGTGAACCTCCGGCAGTCTCTCGGTGTCTCTCGGTGTCTCTCGGACTCTGAATCCGCTCTCATGGCGACCAAGGTAAGACGATCCGAACTCTCAGCTGCGGACTGATCGATCACTATCGATCACTATCGATCAGTAATCGGGGGTCGGCAGCAGCAGCAGCAGCAGGAGGAGGAGGAGGAGGAGGAGGAGGAGGAGGGGAAATGTCGCTTTGATTGTTAAAATTGTTCCGAATTAAAGTTTAAACGCTTTCCAGGATTTATGATCTAAAGGATTAAAAACATGAATTTAATTAACGAGTTTATTAATTAGCGGCGCAATTAAACAGAAATCTAATTAAAACTGATCTCAGGTCGGCAGCACGGTGCGTTCAAATACACCGAGGAGAGTCCGTTCATACATTAAAGTTCTCCTCACTAACTCAATCTATTACAGACACATAAGTGCTCATCTGCAGACAACTGATGGACGGCAAACACATGTGGACACAAGTGTGTGGACACCTGGACACACAGGTTGGGCGTGGCTGCACACAGTCCACATTGTACAGTGTGTGTGTGCAGTGTGTGTGTGTGTGTGTGTGTACAGTTTGTGTGTGTGTGTGTGTGTGTGTGTGTGTGTGTGTGTGCAGTGTGTGTGTACAGTGTGTGTGTGTGTGTGTGTGTGGTGCAGTGTGTGTACAGTGTGTGTGTGCAGTGTGTGTACAGTGTGTGTGTACAGTGTGTGTGTGTGTGTGTACAGTGTGTGTGTGTGCAGTGTGTGTGTGCAGTGTGTGTGTGTGTGCAGTGTGTGTGTACAGTGTGTGTGTGTGCAGTGTGTGTGTGCAGTGTGTGTGTGTGCAGTGTGTGTATGCAGTGTGTGTGTGTGCAGTGTGTGTGTGTGCAGTGTGTGTGTGTGCAGTGTGTGTGTGCAGTGTGTGTGTGTGTGCAGTGTGTGTGTGTGTACAGTGTGTGTGTGTGTGCAGTGTGTGTGTACAGTGTGTGTGTGTGCAGTGTGTGTGTGCAGTGTGTGTGTGCAGTGTGTGTGTGTGTGCAGTGTGTGTGTGCAGTGTGTGTGTGTGTGTGCAGTGTGTGTGTACAGTGTGTGTGTGTGCAGTGTGTGTGTGTGCAGTGTGTGTGTGCAGTGTGTGTGTGTGCAGTGTGTGTGTGTGCAGTGTGTGTGTGCAGTGTGTGTGTGTGCAGTGTGTGTGTGTGCAGTGTGTGTGTGCAGTGTGTGTGTACAGTGTGTGTGTGTGTGTACAGTGTGTGTGTGTGTGCGCAGTGTGTGTGTGCAGTGTGTGTGTGCAGTGTGTGTGTGCAGTGTGTGTGCAGTCCCTCCAGGAAGTGTTTGAACATGTTTAAAGCTTTATCACATCACTTTATTATAAAGTTCATAGGTCGGCTTTGTTTTGTCTCTTGTGGTCGTTTTTTGTTTATTTGCTTGTTTGTTGTTTGTTGTGCAGAGAGTCAGTGAATGTAGTGATGTCAGATTAAATGCTAAAGGCCAGGATCATTTATTATATTTAATAGTTATTAACAACATTTTAGATGATTTTAGATTAGAAAACGAGACAAAGCTACTTCCTGCCATAAATATGAACTAATAGTTTTCAGTGTCTGTACTTCCGGGGTCCCGCAGGCTTTACTTGTTGCAGCAGAGAATGATTCACAGCAGCTTTTCTAAAAAACTGTCAATAGATGTTTTTATGTATAATTAAAAATCAAAGGCAACTCATTCCACTGAGAATAACAGCTCTAGTATTTTGGGGACATGGGAAACTACAGTGATGGGACAAAACTGCAAGGTCGCACAGAATTCATGCTGATTGGTTGAATTTGTGTTCATTTCTGCAACTTCCTGGAGGGACTATCTGACCGATCCCAGTTGATTCTGCACAACCATTACGTCCAATCCCTGCAACCTGTACGCCACCTGAAACCACCTCCCGAGGGTCCTACACGTCACTCACTCAGCCACAGCGTACAGCTGTCTAAATACACTTTATCTCTTCTCATACGTCTACACTGCACGTGAACTGAAGACTATGTCCCGCTCCTGATGTGTCTACCTGGGAGTAGTACATGGGTGTGACAGCTGTAACTTCCTTATTGTGCATTAAAGTCCCCATGAAGCAGTTAGGGAGGGACATGTCGTGGATATGTTTAATATATCCACGACAATATCTATCTATCTATCTATCTATCTATCTATCTATCTATCTATCTATCTATCTATCTATCTATCTATCTATCTATCTATCTATCTATCTATCTATCTATCTATATTGATTGGCATTTACAGCAGCCAATAGCAGCTAGCACTATGAGCTAGTGTCAGTGTCTACTGTCCAGTGAACACAGCTGGACCTCGGAGGCTGTGTTTGATCCCGGTCCGGCTGCTGAGCCCGGTTCTGTCGCACGCTAACGGCAGATATACTTCCTGTCAGTGTTGGACAGATACTGGAGGACAGGAGACAGAGCAGATACACACACTGATTCTGACTTCATGGAGACTTTAATGTTCAGATCTTCTCCTGTTAAGACGTCCTGCAATAGGATCGATATCGTCTGTCACCCTGCAACTGAACAGCAGATCAACATGATTGAACTCATTTGTATGTTGTGACGCGTTGATGCTGTTTGAAAAGAGACGTTCAGCCCAGTTGTTGCTCTTCGGGCAGAAGTTGAGAACATTTTGAACCTTTGAGGAAAAGTTTGATTTAATGTGAACACCAGCAGCTGTTCTGACATCAGGCAGATTTCTGTTGAATCCTGGCGGAGCAGCTCTGCAGCCGCCGCCCTCTTTCACAACAACAGTCAGTCCTCAGAGAGCAGCTCGGTCTGATCTCATTCAGCTGTTTCACTGTTAAACTGCATGCAGCACCAGAAAACAGCTGCTCAGAGGGGCCCCTCAGACGCCAGGGGCCGGCGTTTTGTTGTCATAATTTCAGTATTTAAAGAGAAACTCCCTCAAATTCCAACTCTTGTGAGTGGGGAGGGAATTTGGCAGACACTGGATGTGAATGTGCTGTTGGGAGCCCTAGATTCCAAATCTGAGGATTGTGAGGGCCTGTAACAGATTGTGATAGAGTTAGAGATAGTTGAGGCAGAGCAGCCGGAGAACGTCAGAGAGAAAACCAGACAGTATTCTCTCCATAAACTATGATCCAGTTTGTGATAAAGTTGTGTGTTTGTACAGTAAACAGTGAGCTCCGGTAGCAAGCTTTGCTGTTAGCTAGTTGAAGATGTCAGGATATTATTGGTTGAGAGCGTCACATTTTGTTTTACAGGAAAACCACCATTGCTATCAGCAAGAAATTCATTATATCTGAACTTTAAACTCACAGCTGTAATCAATTGTCCACATGTGGCCCTAATCCTCCTCCGTACAAATGAAACCCCGGTGTGTAAACAGTATTTTATCTGCTTACTGTTTGAATGCTGATTTCCCTCCTACAAAATCAACACTGACAGTCTGAGTACTGCTGTTCACAAACTGCAGACTCACTTCTCAAACTGCTAACACATTACACACAAAGCAAATCAAACTGCTAACACTATAAACCAACTGCTGTAACTCAAAGGCCTCTTTATGTCTTATAAGTAAAAATCAGCTGTAAATAATATAACTGTGTAACGCAGCTACAAGGAAGTTTTATCATTTATTAGTTTGTGTTGATTCTGGTGGCCCCCTGTGGTCTAAAGTGGTAGTATTTCTACTTCCTTGTTTCATTGATTTTAAGTTGAATGTGACCCAGTGGCACGCATTAAGAAGAACTATATAGAACTACAATATATTCATTTCCTGAAGAAAGAACAGAAGATGCAAAATAAAGGAGATTAGAGTCTGATTCTTTGCAGTTTACAGCAGTCACACAATTAATGTCAAATTATTGGTCTAACCCTAAAACTAAAACTTATTAATAAAGTTAGTATTAATAATATGATTACTGTTACTATTATATGAATCAAATAGGGTGTACAGACATCTGCCCTGTATCTACAGCATTGACCTCTACCCTGTATCTATAGCACTTAGGAACTTTTGCACCTTATCCTACAAAACTGACGAAAAAACATTCTGTTAAAACCTTTTCCATGTGAACGATATTCACTTTTCATATTCAGCATCTACAGCTGGTCAAATTAAAATGACATTGCATGATTTCTGTGATTATTTATTAATTTTCTTTGCTGAAAACCATTGTTGTGAGCATGGTTGTTAACAATCCACTGGCAATGAGATTGACCCCATTCCCTTGTAAAGATTAAAGAATCCAGAGCATTAATGGAGGAAAAAGTTTAAAGACGTCAGAGCTGCAGGTCGCAGCTCGTCATCACTGGAGTCACTGAGAGAAACCGTTTAGATTTAAAACTCATAATAATTACATGAATTCTGTTTTTTTGCTGTAAAAAAAAACCTGGTTTTCCAGAAGAACTTTCCACAATGAGGAGATCAACAGAAGAGCTGCTTTACTTCAGTAAGGACGGAGATATACTTGTTTTATAGTTATAATCTGCATTATCCCAAATGTTTCCAACAATGTTCAAACTCAGTCGCCTGTCGATGGCGTCATATCCCCTTTGTGCCTGCGTCAGCGTTGTGGTTGTCTGCCAGAAGCTGTCATACATTGACTGTTGATCCAGTCTGAAGCCACATTGTTACCATCCACTGTTTAGATCTTGGTGCTTTTTAACTCTAGATTTGAACCGGATGAAGGATTTTAGTCATCGGACGTCTGGATCTTAAGTTATCAGAGAAACAAGCTGAGCTAACGTTAGCAGCAGCTCGGCTCGCAGCCCCTCCGGGACGTCCTTTGTCTGTCCAACAGCGTGGGAGAAGCAGTGATTGTTAAGGTGGAACTGCTTTATTCAGTGTGTTTAAGGTGGAACTGCTTTATTCAGTGTGTTTAGTGGTTTTAATCAGCGGGTCTGTTTGTGTTGGAGAGGAGGAGACCTCTGTGGATCATTGGGCTCCCGGTAGAAACCTCCTGAACCATGAACACTGAAGGAATCCTAACCGGGAGAAGCTGACTGCAATGATGGTGATAAATAATATAGAAAAGGGACCAAAGATTGAATCGAGGTGCTGATCACTGGTAGTAGACTTGAGAGCAGGAAAAAGAGTGTGTCTGCACTTTATCTCTCTATTATTTAGCTGATAACATTCAGGCTTCTTCAGGCACTGATATCTTAAATAGGTCACACCCTACTTACACATCTGATGGTCATTAGACAATCATGTTCCACCTTTAGGATGAGTCACAAACAATCAATTATTTCAACAAAATAACGAGAACAGCATCACATATACAGATTTAAATTACACTATGTTTAAGTGTTAATAGACACCTATCTAGATATACGACTTTATCTAAATATCTAATGAAAAGAGGTATATTATATATATAATTTAATATTGTACATTTAAAATTGTCATATTTTGAAAATGTAATCCAAAGTTTAATATAAGTGTCATCTAATTACACATTTTTAAAAGTGTAACCTGGTTTATATAATAATTATTGTTAGATATTTACATGTAATCAGTTACTGTCCAACACACCTGGACCTGTACTTACTGCACAGGTTGAATCAATGATTAACTTTAACTGTAACACTCAAACATTACCCCTGATTCTGATTGGCTGACAGGAACTGCAAAGATCCTGTGTGGACATAATCACTCACTCTGTGATAGTAAGTGTCCCACCTTTAAATAATAAGAGTAGTCATTGGGTAACACTGAGGAGGATCTATTGCCAGAAATGGAATATAATATTCATAGGTATGTTTTCATTAGTGTATAATCACCTGAAAATAAGAATCGTTTTTTTACTTTTGTTACTTTGGAAAAGTGGTTAAACGGAGGGTGAAGCAAGGGAGTTGCAATCTGCAACTGCACCACTAGATGGCAGTAAATCCTAAACACTGGATGTTTAATGCAAATTTTATCACACTCTCCAGGATTTTACAGCTTTTGTAAAACAAAAAGTGATGTATGTGATGTTTTTTTTGCAATGAAATTGTTAGAGAAAGTGAAAACTACAAAAATAGCTTGTTTCAGTGACAATAAAATCTGTAGTAGTTTGGAGACATAGTTAAGGGTTCAACGTTTTACAATTATTGGTTAAATTTGTGGAAAAGTTGCAGTGATTGGACAAAATTGCTCCTTCAATGGAGTCCCCATGTTGAACCGCGATGTTTCTATGGTAGCCCAGAACGGACAAACCAAACACCGGATCGAGGGACTTTTGTGTTTTTTGCGTATTTCGTGGCCACCGTAGTTTCACCTTCCCGCTTGGAAGCAGAGGATGAAGTGATGGAGTTGCAATCTGCAAAGTACTATACAAATTTGGGTATTATAGTATTATATACACATCCAATTATTGAACAACTTTAATTAGTTTGCAGATTCAGATTAAAAATACTAAATATAATCAACAAATAAATGATGATGTAATATTATGGGTAGCACACAAAGTCCTTAAAATTAGAGTTAATGCATCAATAATTATAATCCAGTCATATAATATATATATTTATATTAATGTGGTATGAGTACTTCTTCCACCGCTGCTCTTGATACCAAACACAGTTAGGACTGTTGCTGAAGGGCATTCTGGGAACTGTAGTAAACGTCAGGCGGATGCAGGTCGAGTGAAACAGGCTCTGATCTGTTGAGAAATACCTTCAGCTCAGGCAGTAGATGCTGATCGCTGTTAGGAATTCTTCAGATTCCAGCTGCAGAGAGTTTCTGGAAACAAACATCCAGTGATGGATGTGATAACGTAACAAACATTACTCTGAAATGCACAATGAGTACTTTTACTGTTGCTTCTGTTTGTGTATTTTGGTGTTAATACTTTTATACTTTTAAAGTTACAATCATTAAGATGTCAGTGCTGGTTGGTTAACAGCAAATACAGTTTAATACTGATCCTTTCTGGGTGCGGCCAAACAAACAAAACCAGACAATAATTGACCTTTTTCATTGTGTGAGTAAGCTGCAGGGCACACTGCATTTCCTGTAACTACTTCATAATAAAAGTCAACTCACCAGTCAAATGCTTTTAATGTGAAACTGCAGCAGCAGGAGAAGTTTTACTTCATACTGAAAATATCCACAGAGACCCAGTTCTCTTACTGAAGGGAAAACTGATGATCTGATCCCAAAACATTCACAGGATTTGTACAGTTTGGTACTGATTATTGATTATTGATTACTGATATTGATTGCCTGTGTTTGGCTGCTGTCTCAGTACTCAGATTTAGAGCTGGCCATCAACACGTTGGTCACGGAGTTTCATAAAGCTGCAGATGACGGACCGACCATGAACACCACACAGTTCCAGACCATGATCTCCAATCAGCTGCCGGGATTTGCCAAGGTACACACTGTGACATCACAGCTCATCCTCCAATCACAACACACTTCACTCTCTCTGGCAATGAACACACTCAGTTAAATTTTCTACGGAAGCCATGAAAGGCAAAACATTTAAGTTTTTAATTTTTCCAGCTGTTTTCAGCCAGTTTTCACAGCTGGAAAAAAATATTTTAAGCTTTAAAAAAAAGGGGATTATATTTTGAAATTAAAAATTATGTTTTCACCAGCATTTCTTTTTCTCATGATCAAGTTTAAATGTTTTCATCTGTTTTCAGACAGTTTTCACAGGTGGAAAGTAATTAAAAGTTTTGAATAAAAAATTTTTCACGTGCCTTTCAGTGATTCCGTACAGTTCTGAACTTTCTCATGGTCCCGGGTTATAATTTAAGGAGCAGCAAACCCGACGTGGCTCACTGTGCTCACTTCCTGTTTCCTGTGTTCAGACGGTGGACAATGAGGACGGTCTGGCTCAGGTTCTGCAGCAGATGGACGTCCAGAGCGGTCAGAACATCTCCTTCGAGAACTTCTGGACTCTGATCAACAAACAGGCCATCCAGCTGTTCGGAGCCACACACAAAGAGAAGAACATCAAGTGCAACTGCCTGCTGCAGTGAAACCTGCATCACTGACACATCTGAGCCTGGAACCACTACACCTGTCTGACCACAGGGGGGCGCTGCAGGACAACAGTCAGACTAGTAGATGCACAGAAGAAATGTTTCACTGATGATATTCACAGATTGTTGAGTTGTGTTATCGAACATGTTTGAGTCTGAATGTACGGAGGACCAAAATGACTAATCAGAAAATAAAATATATAATGAATTAATTGATGACTGGAATGTAATACACTGAGAAATAGGCCAATAACATTGAAGATGTGAAAGTAGAATTCATCAAACTGGAAAAAATCTTGAGAAATAAATAAATAAAATACTACAAAGAGAAGGAAGGAAATGAAATAAAATAAATCAATAAGGAGCATAAGAAATATCCACAAAACTACAAAATAATAACATTTGTCAAAAATTAATTAATGAAATTCTCAAGAAAATCGGAAAATAAATGAAAAGAAACAAAATAACTTTAGAAATGATTCGGTAAATTGTGAGAAACAGAAACATGAGAATAATTTTATACAAATAGTTTCATTTATTCATTTTCCAATAAATCAGGTTTGGGCCTCTGTACACAGGCTTTAACTTAATTATGAGTTTAATGACTGCATGCTTACAAGTTAAAACATGATAAAACATTTTTACTACTAAAATTTTGTCACTTTGGGCTTTAAAATTCTGTTTTTATTGACATTTCTGAGCTCATTTATAAGCTGATAAATGCTGTTTTGATACTAACATGTGACTTTTATATTCAGTCTGGATGTTTTTTAAAACCCTCTGAGCTCTGATGATGCAGTTTATGTTCTCTCTGTGAATAAAACAAAACCACTTTTGATATAAGGAACCAATCAAAGTGTGTTCAGTGAATTATTTGATAGGAATAAAAAAAAGGTTGATGGATGGAAAATAATCAGCAGATGAATCCATAATGAAAATAATCAGTTGGAGTTGAAAATGAGCTGAAATCCTGCTTTTACATGAAAGCATGAGAATAATATAATTATGTCATAAATAATAAGCAAACATTAGTTTTGTATTTGTTTATTTACTTACTCTCCAGGTCCAGTGCACATTAATAATCATTGTTGTAACGTTATTATACATCTATAGTGCCTGAACAGATATTATATATTCACCCTACAAACAAAATAAGATCAAAAAACTGTTTAATATAATAAGAAATGATAGTTTATAGGCATTCAGACAAATAATAAAAGATAAGGCATCAGAAGGCTCGTGTTTGGTTTGTGAAAACGTCTCGTTCTAAGGTAACAACAACACAACGATTCTTATTCTCAGCTGATTGTACACTAATGAAAACGTACCTATGAGTATTATATCCTATTGAACATGACATCACTGTGTCGCAGATGGAGGACAGGAAGTGATTTTCTACACTGTCACAAACTATCAATGTTGGTTTTATTTACGGCCGCTCAAATCGATCAAACTGAGAAACCACAAGGAGCATTTATTGATGTTTTTGTTCATAAAAAAGAAAAATGAAAGAAATTGACGGAGAAATAACAAACCAACATCTTGTGAGAACCTCTGTGGACGGGGCAGATATTCAGCTCTTCAGCTCGCTGTCAGACCCTTTCTGACGGGAACTGAATGTAACATCGATCTATTCTCTCTTCAAAGCCACCAGACTCCACTGACAAAAAGAGAGACAGAGTTTCTGGTCTACCGCTGCCTCCGTCCTTAGTGACAAATGTTAACATGTTAAATCACCAAATTCACACAATAATAATCACCAACCAGTGGACGCAGCGGTAGAGCAGAAACTCTGAGCAGAAACTCAGATTGTTGTGATTTTCTCTCTAATATTGTTTTAAATGAGCTCAGACTTTCCTCCGTTTCATCTATTCTGCCTTCACTTCCTGTCCTCCATCTCTACAGATCCTCCCAAGTGTTACACACTGGACCTTTAAGGTAGTTTTAGACTTTATCTTTAAGCAAACATAAGTATATAGGAAACAGAAACAAGATCACAAACTAAATCAGAAATGATGAATATCAGCCAATAACAATCAGTTGATTTGAACTGTTGAACTGTCACAGAAATCTTCGTCCTCCCAGTCAACAGGGGGCGCTGTCTCCTCCTCTCTGTGGAAAATCCTCCCATCAGACTGCCTCCTCCAACGCAGCTTCACCTCCTCTCTGATCCCTCCATCCTGCAGTTTCTGCTCCAGCTGAAAGTTTACAGACATCAACGTCACTTTATATCGACCACTATGATTGATTATTGACAGTCAGCAAACCGTTTTAATGCCAGATAAATGATGCATGAACTGATTTCTGAAACAGGACCCCCAGTTTGAGATGATTTTGATGTCCAGAAGAAATGAAAAAGTCCTTTCTAACCCTTTAAGATCACATCTCTAGTCATATTGTACCTCCACTGAACAATGTATGCTGTGTATTCTACACAGAGCAGAGCCGAGAGATGCTTCTGGTAGCGACAGCAGCGGAGCGAGAACGAGAAATGTCTGATATTCTCCAGCTGCTCTGCCTCATCTCCGCTAACTGCTAATGTAGCTGCTGTTAGCATGCAATGGAGCCGCCTGTCCATCTCACATTTACTTGTGAAGTTCTAACTTCTCCTGTAAAGACACAAAGATCTACTGTAATAAAAGACAACCATCAGGAAGTGTCCTCTGACCTGCTGCAGGATGGCGTCTTGCAGCATCGGGTCATTCAGGTCTGCAGATCCTCCGCTCAGCCGAACCTTCACCAACCTCATCGCTGACTGTCTGACATCTGCAGAGGAAAGAACTCTGATGAACACAGATCAGACCGGATGGATCCGGCTCTTCAGAAACTCTGAGCAAGGACTCACCACTGTAACAGAGGAAGGGGTGTGTATCATCGCATTGCGCACTGTGCCAGTCAACTGAGTCCACCATCACACAGTCTTCTTTCTCTTTGGGCTGGTCAGACGCCCACTGCCGGTAGGAGCCACCGCTCCCGTCAGACCACACCCACAGCTGTCTGTACAAACCGAACCAGGCGAGATCCTCACTGTCATCCTCACTGTCATCCTCACTGTCATCCTCACTGTCGTCGTCAGGGTCAGTGGTACTCTGCAGCAGACTGGAGATCTGCTCGTTCTCCTCCTTACTGCTGATGCTGCTCAGGTCTGTGTATTTTGTCTTGCAGTACGTCTGACCCTCTGACCAGGTCATCAGCTGCTTCACCAGGATGTGTTTGTCATATTCAGCTGAAAAGGTGAAGATCAGACGAAGGATTATTTACTTTAAATAAACTTTTTTCACGTTAGAATCCTGCAGATATTTTCAGTCACAACAGGACCGACAACCTGACAGGTCGGTTACCTGCCTCAGTGCCAGGCAGTGACCTTACAGGGCTTTCATACATAAAGCAGACACATTAAAGAGGTACTTTTATGACTGTACTGTGATAATATCACTGCTGCTGGTCATGTTCAACTCACCCTCTACTGTTTTAATTCTGCCTGAACCATATGAGTCCGGTGCTGACACAGAGTGGACAGTCTGACACGTTTCTATAAAACCAGAGTTAACTTCCTCTAATCAGAGTTTCTTAGTATTCTCCAGGAGGTCAACCAGTGTTAACATGGCTGCACTCTTATACAGCTGCTCATCGCTGAGTAAAACTCTGTCCTCTGTATACGTTTCATTTCCATCTTCACGTGCGGATGCTCTGACTTTCTGCCCAAAGAGAAACCAAACTGAAAACCCCTCAGACTCACCGCTGTAACACATCACGTGATGTTCAACTCCACAGTCTATGGCAGACCACTCCCCAAGTCCAGATATGGTCACACACTCCTGGAACCTCGGTTCTTTGTCAGCCCAGTTGGTGAACCGGGTTTGCACAGAATCGCTCTGGTCCCAGTGAGACCATTTCCAGCCACTGTCGTTTAAAGAGAGTCCGATCCAGAACTTTCCACTCTGCATCGTCTGTATGGCTTCATTGTTGTTGGTTGGATCCTGGATGGTGGCGAGGTCGGTGAACGTTTCCCTGCAGTAACGCTGAGCTTCAGTCCAGGTGGTCTTTGTATCGACGGCGTGGAAATATCTGATGACATCGTCAGTGTGGAGGTGACAGACCAACACACAGCCTGACAGACGACACAGCAGACAAACAAACTCTCTGAAAACAAATACGGCCACTTGTGGCGCTGTTAACAGCTCTTTACTGACAGTGACATATAAAACCTTTAAACTTTTCTGTGTAGTTTGTGTTTTTATTGTTTAACCACATTTTATTTTAAATAAAGTTTGCGTTTAGATCAGAGCGAAGGAGGCAGGTTTACAGACCTGACAGCAGCAGGAAGACCAGTCCTCTTCTCTTCATGGCTGCAAATCTGTCTAGACATCAGTCATCAGTCATCAGTATCAACAGCAACACCAACGTCATCAATAATCCCAATGAAACCACAGCTGGATTCGAACTCAATACATTTACTAAAGCACACATTTGAGCTACTTGTAAGTAAGTATTTCCATTTTATTCAACTTTGTTCTGCACTGCATTTGTCAGCCAGCTTTAAGATTACAGTTCTTAATCCCTTTCATGTCTAGTGAGCAGTAAAATGCAACAATCCCATTAATGCAGCAGTAATATTCATCCAGAAACATCAGATATAGCAGCACAACATTTAACTGCTACTACTTAACAATCTATTAACACTAGAAACACCAACTTTAGATTATATGTACCTTTGTTTCAGTAAAACATTCCCCCGGTCCTTGACTTTCCTAAAAATGTGTTATGTACCACGATTATTGTTAGAAATTGTAAACATAAAGCCAAATTTGACCAATATACCTGGAAGCACCAGCAGGTCTAATTGTATGTTGCTATTGGCAACGCCTTTAATCTACTGTGAGTGATAGAGCTGCTAACCTTCAATATGAACAATAAAAATATTATCACCCTCCCTCCAGTCCACAGCTTCACCTTATTTTTATTTAAATTACTATTATTTTGAGTTGTTTCATATCAGCTTAAACTAAACTTCATATGAAATAAAAACAATATTTTATTTTTAAAAACTGTATTTCATTTGGCACAAAATCCTTGCAAAGGTCGATAGTGACAGTTGATAAGCAGAGAGCAGGTTTCAGGGTTTTACTGGCTGCAAACAACAAATATGATATAAAATAATAAACTGCTGTTTTTGGTAAGTATGATGTAAGTAATGGAAATATCTTCAGAATATTGAGCGTTATTGTACTAACTAAACGTTGAAACAGCCTCCTGTCAGATGATAAAACCAGCAATGTTTGAGAGCTCTGATTTAAATGATATACTGTGAATGTATATATTATATTATAGCCTTTATACTCTATACAGTCGCCTTCATGATCAAAGTGACAATTAGGGAGGGGGTCGCAGACACACAGTGGTAGAATTCCTCTAATATTTCTATGATAGGTCAGTAGCGTCTAACAGAATATTTTAAGGCAGATATATTTAGATATATACTGTATACACTCAATATATATCTATATCTAAACAAATACAATTATTCACATGAGTAGATTAAAACAAAGTCGATGCAAAAACGAGAATACACTCAAAATCTGCAATCTTGTGTGCGTCTGTGTGCACCCAGAGCTCTATGATATTACTTCATATTAATACAGGGCAGACAGAACAGGAGGCTGTTGGAGGAAAGGAAGAGAGGAAGTTGGAATATCTCACAGACCGACTGACAGAGTCAGATTTCAGCATCATTTGATCTGTTTATTGTCATTAAATCACAGAAGACTCTGTGTATTTTGGGCTCATACCGTCACAGTGAGATGGATTAAAGGGCAAATGTTCAGCTCACATTACTGCCGTGGTCATTTGTATCAATCATTACCCACACAAGGAATGTGAGCCCAAAACCCGCTTTGTGTTTGGTGTAAATTGTACCTGTGCTAGTGTTAATCAGTCCCTCCAGAATAATAACGTAAATTCAACCAAACCCTGGGATTTCTGCACCACAACTTCTCCAGAAATTTGACCAGTTGTTGTAGTTTTTTGCACAAAATGTTTCACATCCTTGTTACTAGTCCGCATTCTATTCTCACTGGAACAAGTTGCCTTTTAATTTTCACTTTCTCTGCAAAAAACATCACAACATGCATCACAATTGTTTTAGAAAAGCTTCCAATCCCAAAAAAAACACAAAATCCTGGAAAATATTCTTCAGGTTCATTGATAATGAAAATAATCTCTAACTGCATAAACTTATATGTAATTGACATGTATGAGAGTAAAATTATGTAATATAAAGAAATATGAGGCAGTGTAATAGTTCAGAGATTAATGTTGAGATATGATAATAACGTATAAAGTTGAATTCAGATGTGGAACATACCTGATGTGAGGAGGTTCAGTTGTGTGTTCAACTGTGAAACCCTCAAACCTTATAAAGATGTTGCTCCTCTTCCTCCTCCTCCTCCTCCTCCTCCCATTACATCGTCAACTCATCATGTACTCACTGTTACAATTGAAAGCTTCACTGGAGCGAAGTACAGCTGTGCTCACTCGTTTGGTTAAATGCTGCTGAGGGTCATTAGATTCAAATGGTTCAGTCAAATTTAAAGTGATATCAGATGTAAATGTGTATCAGGGAGCTCTCAGACTGACCTCTGTTAACCAAACCAGGATCAATTAATGATGAAGGTAAATGAGCTCAAAGCATGAAGCCAGGTGGACGCATCCGTCCAAAGTGTCTCACAGCGCTGCACATGTGTTCATACAGAGAGGACAGGCTGCTTCATTCAGACACTGATTGTGAGCAGCAGCATATAAAGAGGAAGGTTCGGACCAATGACAGGAAGTCTCACAGGCTGCTGTCAGAACCACCAAACAACGTTAGAAAGGGTGAGCAGAGAGAGAGAGAGAGAGAGAAGCTGATTCCTCACACACCAATCATCCATCAATGGCAGCCTAAGTTTACACATAATCCATGATGATGGCAAAGTAAAAAAATACACATTCAACAGCAAAAATAGCATATTCCAGTCCCTCCAGGAAGTTACAATCACAGCAATGAACACAAATTCAACCTGACAGCTGTTGCAGGTTTGTCCAGTCACTGCGACTGCAAATTGAACCAGTCGTAGTTTCCTGCTCTAAATGTTGAGTCATACGTCACCAAACTCACTTCCTCATTTCTCGTGTTGAAGATGCAGACATGTTGGACTTTCTCTGTGGAACTTTCTGCTGAAACTTTATTGTGAAAAATGTTTGAAACCACCAACAGGCATCACAATCTTGTTGCTGTAATCAGACATTACACGGAGGGGCTGATACTGTCAGTATTTTAGAGAATAATTATGTCTTATTAAGAGGACTCCCGCCCCCCCGGCTCCCCTGTAGTTGGCACCCTCTCTGTGTAAGTTCATGTTCACGTTGGACCGTGTTTCAATTAAAAACCTGGAGTCCTCTCCCCGAGTGCTACTGAGGCTCTTTTTGGTTTCTGTGTTGTTTTTACAAATAAAACTGAATTGTACAGTTGCCCGGGGCCCGGGGGGCCGGGGCCAGGAGCGGGAACACTGCAGACACATTTTATGTTTGTTTATATCAGAAAGGGTTCATTTCTATTGAGCCCGGGAGTGGACATAGAGAGAAAGAAATATATGTAGAAGACACCTCTGTCTCTCTCTCTCTCTGTCTCTCTCTGTCTCTCTCTCTCTCTCTGTCTCTCTCTCTCTCTGTCTCCAAGGTCTTGCTCATGGTGGTACTGTTGGGTCTCTGTAATTAATGTTATAAAGAGTTCGGTCTAGACCTGCTCTATTTGAAAAGAGTCCTGAGATAACTTCTGTTATGAATTGGCGCTATACAAATAAAATTGAATTGACGTGGTTTACTTAAAAAAATAAGATATGTTTATGCTCGCCCTCTCTCTCTGCTCACCTGCCCGTCGATCAGGTCTTCTCTTCTCCCTCATAAGAACCTGGTGCTGGCATTCAGTCCCTTCTGGATCGTTCCAGAGCTTTCACCCCTGAATACAATTCCTCATCTCAGCCCCAACGCCAGCCACCAGTTCACTTTCCTCATCATCATCAAAAAATAAAGCTCTTTGATTTCCACCAACCTGCCTGCAGTCTGCTTCTTGGTTCTGCTAATAGGCTCCATACATGGATGTGACACCAAGCATTAAGTGAATTGTTAAAACACTCTTTTGGTTTTAAAGTTTACATCCTATTATGTTACTGTATATGAGCACAGTTCCATCAGTAAACGCTGATGTCCTCACTCACATTACGGCTCCACCTCCAGGTTACACCACCCAGAACTCTGTAGTCATTGGGGCTGAGCCGAGCACTCGTCTGGAACAAGTATCCAGTACAGATAATATACTTTATTTTCAGTAGGAACATAAAATGTGGAAATATAAAGAGAGAAGAAATTATACAAACATTTTTTTGAAGAATATATTCTTTAATTGATCCGTGTTTTACTTATTGTTCTGTTCCTCTGTGATTATACAGAACTGTAATGATAATATGATTTCACTGAGAATAAAATACATTTACTGTTATGTTGTCATAAACACAACTAATCTTCAGAGTCACTTTGGGTTTTGTAGATCTGAATGAACTCCAGATCCAGGTCCAGGTCCAGGTCCAGGTGGAGCAGTCTCAGTGTGTCTGCAGAGACTGTAGACGGACAGAGCAGCAGCAGCAGCAGCTCCAGATACACTGATGATACTCTGTCACATGATCCAGAGGAACACACAGGGAGCTGATCTCAGAGCAGTTCAGACTGCAGCACTGAGAGTCGTCTCCACTGGTTGTGATTCCTCTGTCAGTCACTGCTGGATGAAGCTCTCCTCTCCACTCTACCTCCCAGTAACATGGCCCAGTCAGAGCTGATGCTGCTGCTTCAACCTCTCTGGATCATCAGGACACAGCGGATCCTCCAACACAACCTCCTTCCTCACCGCTCACTGTCTGACTGAGATCACTTCCATCTGAGGAGAGAAGGAGACAGAGGACAGCAGAGATAAATCAGTGTTTACAGAGACTCCCTCCATCAGCACATCCAGTATAAAGAGCAGCAGGGACTTCAGTCCAGTTCAGACCAGCAGTGGAGCGGCTGTGTAGCGTAGCCTGATTCCTTTCAGCTCTCATGTTAACGTATTGGAGTGAACACACTGAGCTGAAGCTCACAGACCTGCACACACTTTGGACATCAAGTCTGTTGACTCTGCAGATTTCACTGAAGTACACAGTGGAAATAAAGTGCTGAGAGTCCCTGAACGCATCATTACTGCAGAAACAGAGAGACATTCACTGCCCACTGGAATGATGCATTTACTGCTGTTAGGGTTCAAAGCTGATAAAAACCACAGTCTCAGTCACATTTGAATGTTTCATCTGAACTCTTACAGGACAAATGTGTAAATATTCAAACTATTTGGACAAACAAGAGACAAATGGACAGATATATATCTGATGTTAAAGGTCCTACATGTTCATACAAAGACTGAACAGCAACACATCAGCTGTGGGTACTGGACTCCAGCAGAGGTCCTGGTCTGTACAAAGACCACATGGTCACTAAATGTAATGATGCTTGTTTGCAGGCTTCAGTCAGACTGATCTCAGAGCTGTGACAAAGACCAACTGATCAGTTGTTTAGTGTAGAAATGAGAGAACAAACAGTGTGAGATCAGACTGGATGAATGAGGACCACTGTCTCTATACATCTTGTAATGCTGTCAGCTGGAATCCAGCTTTATTTCCTGAACACATGAACACAACAACAACAGTCGTCTTCACATCAACTCAAACACATGATCACAACAAGCTTCTGGCTCTCTGATTGGCTGACTGTTCTCTCTCTGTCTGTCTGTCTGTCCAATCCTGAAGCCTGTCCCCATTCTCCTCTCACAGCTTCACTGAGGAAAGCAGCAAATACTGGATCTGTGTTTAGTCCAAGACTGCTGGAACCAGCATGGACTGACTCAGACCCTCTACTGACCTCAGAGTCTGCAGTCTACAGTGTGGACTCTCCACAAGATCAGACAGCAGCTTCACATCTGGATCCTTCAGGTTGTAGTTGTAACTCAGGTCCAGCTCTCTCAGATGGGAGGGGTTGGACTTCAGAGCTGAGACCAGAGAAGAACAGCTGATCTCTGACAAACTGCAGTCACTCAATCTGAATAAAGAATAAAAGATGTGAGTTTAGAAGACAATGTTCCTGCTTGAAATCATTCAGTGTTTAATAATCTGTTCAGAGCTGAAGAAGGTTTAGAATGTACAAGTTTAGAAAATGGAAACTCCAAACACCTGAACCCAACAGGATGCAGGTTGCAAACTGTACGTCTGGACCTTTTAAATCAAACAAGTTATGAAAGATATTATTCCTGCAAATGCATTCAACATATCTTATATATACACTATATGGACAAAAGTATTCGGCCACCTAACCATAATACCAACAGTGACTGAAATTACATTGTCTTCAAATACATATACTTTAATATGGAGTTGGTCCCCATTTTGCAGCTATAACAGCTTCCACTCTTCTTGGAAGGCTTTCCACAAGATTTTGGAGTGTTTCTTTTGTGCCCATTCATTCTGTGGAGCATTTATGAGGTCAGGCACTGATGCAATCTCCGTTCCAGTCTATCCCAAAAGTGCTCGATGGGGTGGAGGTCAGAGCTCTGTGCGGGCCAGTCAAATTCTTTCACACCAAACTCATCAAACCATGTCTTTATGGACCTTGCTTTGTGCGCTGGGGCACAGTCATGTTGGAACAGAAAAGGGCCTTCCCCAACTGTTGCCACATAGTTGGAAGCATAGCATTGTCCAAAATGTCTTTGTATGCTGATGCATTAACATAGCCCTTCACTGGAGATAAAGGGCCTAGCCCAAACTGTAAAAAACAGTCCCATACCATTATCCCTCCTTTACCAAACTTCACAGTTGGCACGATGCAGTCAGGCAGGTAACGTTCTCCCGGCATCCACCAAACCCAGACTCCACCATCTGACTGCCAAACAGAGAAGCGTTATTCGTCACTCCACAGAACACGTTTCCACTGCTCCACAGTCCAGTGATGATGCGCTTTACACCACTACATCCGACACTTGGCATTGGACTTGGTGATGTAAGGCTTGCATGCAGCTGCTCAGCCATGGAAACCCATTCCATGAAGCCCCTGCCGCACAGTTTTTGTTTTTTCAGAAATACTGATACAATTGATTGATTGATGATTTTTTAACACACTGTAATTTAAAGCGTGCAATTTTCTTTCTAACATCAATCCAATCTGAGTGCAAACAGAGTCATTAGATTTGGTAGATATACACAGAGCAAACACATCAACTGTCTCCAGTCTACAGTTTGGACTCTTCAGTCCAGCAGACAGCAGCTTCACTCCTGAATCCTTCAGGTTGTTGTTGTTACTCAGGTCCAGCTCTCTCAGATGGGGGTTGGACTTCAGAGCTGAGACCAGAACTTCACAGTGAGTTGATGAGAGTTCACAGTCAGAAAGTCTGTGAATACAGAGAATATAACATTTAAAACAAACTCTGACGCTTTTATTATAAAAGCAGAAAGCAGAAGGTTGCTGGTTTGAAACTTGAGCTCCTCCCATCCACATTCAAAGTGTCCTTGAGCAACATAACGAACCCCAGATTGGTGCTTTGGACCAAAGTGTCCAAGTGACTGACATGTAAACATGATACAGATTTCATTTACAGGGTGCTGCATTGTATTTGTTAAACTTTATTCAGTGTGATGTTCAATGAGCTGTATCATCACTGTAGTTTGTAACTACACTGCTATGTGTTTACGTCAGTTATGTGTTTGTGTATTTTGTGTCTCTGATCTTATACAATAGAACATTTTATTATCACATATACAATCATACACAGTACAACATATAGTGAATCCTGTCCTCTGCATTTAACCATCCTAAGTACTAGGAGCAGTGGGCAGCCACTGTACAGCGCCCAGCAACCAACTCCAGATCTAAACCAGAGCCTTGGTCCAGGTCCAGGGCTCTGACTGGAGAAGTGAACCTAACATGTGTGTTTTGATGGTGGTGGACACGGAGCAGCCGGAGGAAACCCACAGAAACACGAGGAGAACATGCCAACTCCACACAGACAGGCTCTTCTTGCTGTTAGGCGACAGCGGTAACCACTGAGCCACCGTGTTATTATGTCACACCATCAGCTTCCTGTCTGAATGTGGTTTGTTGGTTTTCTTGTTTGTTTTGTTTAACTTATTCTTAACACAGAATGATAATATTAATTTCAATAATTAGTTATAAGGATAATATGGAAGTCGTATGTTGAGCATGTGTGTATCTTTACTAATAATGACGGCTTCAGCTTTAAGTTGCTTCATAATGTTCATCACATGTGGACTTACACAGCCTTTCTGCAGTTCTTCACAGCTGGAATCAGTCTCAATTGTCCCTCCTGTGTTGTGTTTCACTTCTTCAGGTCCAACTCATCCAGAACCTCCTCTGACATCTGCAGCATGATGGCCAGAGCTGAGCAGTGGATCGCAGAGAGTTCTTTCTTGGCTCTGTTCTCTGACTTCAGTAACTCTTGGATCTCCTGATGGAATGAGTGGTGGTTCATCTCCATCACACAGTGGAAGATGTTGATGCTTCTGTCAGGAGAGGACCGGGTCTTCTTCTTCTTCAGGTTGTTGATGGCTCTCTGGATGGTTTCTGGACTGTTGTCTGTCTGACCCAGCAGGCCTCTTAAGAGTCCTTTGTTGGACTCCAGAGAGAGGCCATGAAGGAAGCGAACAAACAGGTCCAGGTGACCGTTTTTACTCCTCAGGGATTTCTTCATTGTTTCCATCAGGAAAACGTCCAGAGATGAATCAACATATTTTTTTCCCCAGGAAACCCTCCAGTACCTCTGTGTTCCTGTTGGTGTAACAGTGGAACATGTAGACTGCAGCCCAAAACTCCTGAATGCTCAGATGAACGAAGCAGTAGACTGTTTTTTGGAATATCACACTCTCTCTTTTGAAGATCTCTGTACAAACTCCTGAGTACACCGAGGCCTCTGAAACATCAAGACCACATTGTTCCAGGTCTTCTTGGTAGAACATGATGTTTCCTTTCTCCAGATGTTCAAACGCCAGCCTCCCCAACTTCAGAAGAACCTTCCTGTCAGCCTCTGTCAGCTCCTGTGGACTCGTCTCATGTCCCTCATCATACTTCTGCTTCTTCCTCTTTGTCTGAACCAGCAGGAAGAGTGAGTACAGGTCAGTCAGGGTCTTGGGCAGCTCTCCTTTTCTGGTTTGTAGTCAACATGTGGTCCAGAACTGTGGCAGTGATCCAGCAGAAGACTGGGATTAGACACATGATGTGGAGGCTCCTGGAGGTCTTGATGTGTGAGATGATCCTGTTGGACAGATATTCATCACTGACTCTCTTCCTGAAGTACTCTTCCTTCTGGGCGTCAGTGAAGCCTCGTACTTCTGTTACCCTGTCAACACATTCAGGAGGGATCTGATTGGCTGCTGCAGGTCTGGAAGTTATCCAGACGAGAGTCAAGGGAAGCAGATTCCCCTTGATGAGGTTTGTCAGCAGCACGTTGACTGAAGACTTCTGTGTGACGTCAGACACAACCTTCTTGGTCTTGAAATCCAGTGAAAGTCTGCTTTCATCCAGGCCGTCAAAGATGAACAAAAGTTTACAGACAGCGAGCTGCTCTGCTGTGACCTTCTGTAATGTTGGATGGAAAACATGGAGCAGCCTGAGAAGACTGTACTGCTCATCTTTGATCAGGTTCAGCTCCCTGAACGAAAGCAGAACCACCAGACTGACATCTTGGTTCTCCGAGCCCTCTGCCCAGTCCAGAGTGAACTTCAGCACTGAGAAGGTTTTTCCAACACCAGCGACACCGTTCGTCAGATCAGTGGCACCTGATTGGAGTGTCATGGAGAGTCTCCATCTTGGAAGCTGTCTCAAGCTGCCAAACCTCATGTTGGGTATTAACCTCTTCACTCTGTCCCTCTGTGATGTAGAGCTCAGTGTAGATCCAGTTGAGGAGGGTTCCACTTCCTGTTTCATCAGTCCCTTCAGTCACACATTCACATCTCTTCTTCAGACTGATCTTATGATCATCTAAAACCTCCTGCAGACCACCAGAAAAACGTGAGAAAAGTTTGATTAATTTCATTATCAACATAAAAACAATCAATCTTACGATACCATTGGCACTAACACCAATAGATACTGTAGTAGATATTATTGATTGTAGATATTATGGTTGTAGATATTAGATGATCGTCGCAATGATGACTTTTCATCATTGCGTGAAAGTCAGGGACAGCACCGAAGGAGTGGCGGACTGGGGTGGTGGTTCCCCTATTCAAAAAGGGGGACCAGAGGGTGTGTGCAAAATACAGAGGCATCACACTACTCAGCCTCCCTGGGAAAGTTTACTCTAAGGTGCTGGAAAGGAGTGTCCGGTTGATTGTTGAACCTCTGATTGAAGAAGAACAGTGCCGGTTCCGTCCTGGTCGTGGAACAACAGACCAACTCTTCACTCTCGCAGGTGTCTTGGAAGGGGCCTGGGAATATGCCCATCCGGTCTACATGTGCTTTGTAGATTTGGAGAAGGCATATGACCGGGTTCCCCAGGATATCCTGTGGGAAGTGCTGCAGGAGTATGGGGTGAGGGGGTCACTTCTCAGGGCCATCCAATCCCTGTATTTCCAAAGCGTGAGTAGTGTCCGGATTCTTGGTCGTAAGTAACTTGACAGGATATCGAGGCGTAGTCGTGGGGGGGAGGGGCTGCAGTGTGGTGGGCTGAGGATTACATCGCTGGCATCATCTTCATCTCAGCTGAGATGGTTCGGGTATCTGGTGAGGATGCCTCCAGGACGCCTCCCGAGGGAGGTGTTCCTGGCACGTCCAGCTGGGAGGAGGCCACGGGGTAGACCGAGGACCAGGTGGAGAGATTACATCTCAACACTGGCCTGGGAACACCTTGGGATCCCCCAGTGAGAGTTGGCCGATGTGGCCGGGGAAAGGGAAATTTTGGGTCCTCTGCTGGACTTTCTACCCCTGTGAACTCTATCGATCTAATTCTATATTTTTCTACACTGCGTAGGAACCCTGAGAACGGCAGCGATCAGCTCCAGCGGGCGGATTGTGATGCAGTCGTGTCCGGTGGAATCTGGGACGAATGATTTCTCTTCATCACGAGTCATAAAATGTTTGTTCAATTGAGTCAGCAAATACAGTTTAGTAGGAAATTTAATTAAATCCAAAAAAACAAACATGGTATTGTCAGAGGAAAGTGAGTCATATAAATGAGTTTGTATCAGTGTTCTTACTGTGAGTCTGAGGGTCCAGGTCCATTACTGAAGACTACAGGAAGACCTTTGGACCGGTCACTCTTCATAGACAGACAGCTGGACACTACAGACTCTGCTCTGTCCTCCTCTTCCTCCACACAAACACTCATCTTCTGATCTGAAGTCAGTCTGAGAGTCAAACAGTAACACAGACAGTGAGCTCAGAAACAGAAATAGGAAACAACAAGTTAGTACACACACGCACACACACACACACACACACACACACACACACGCACTCGCACACGCACACGCACACGCACACACACACACACACACACACACACACTCACACACTCACACTCACACACGCACACGCACACGCACACGCACACGCACAGTAACAGTAACAGAATAATAATGTTGTATTAACACTCACCCTGCCTCAGCCTGCATGTTTCCTCCTTCTGCTGTCCACTCAAAATGGAGTCTGAACCAACTGAACACTTTCACTTTCAGGTTCCTTCCTGTTCTCTGGAACACGCAGTCATAGACAGTGTAGCTCCTCCCTTCTCCATTTACAGGAAATCACACGGTTTATCTGTGTGTGTGTGCGTGTGTGTGTGTGTGTGTGTGTGTGTGTGTGTGTGTGTGTGTGTGTTAATGATGAACTTAAATTATGTTTAACCCTTTCATACACAGTGCTCACTACAGTGGACAGCGATTTGTATATTCGTGGGTTTTGATGGTTTATTTGCACACACTGCCACCCAGTGGCCACTAGTGCATCATCCCACACACTGCCAGCCAGTGGCCAGTTGTTGTAAGTGAAGTTCAGGAATATCTGTCCAATCCTTCTACAGACAACTCCTTACACCACCTCTGATCCCCGGAGCATGTGGCAAGGTCTGCAACACATCACAGACTACAAACAGAAAAGTTGGGGGGTGTCAACCAGCAGAGTCACACTACCGGATAAGCTCAACGAGTTCTACGCTCGTTTCGAGGCCCTCAACACCAGCTGACAGGGAGAGATTCTGGCCACAAGGGCATACTGGACACACCACTCTCTGTGTCACCAGTAGAGGTGCGCTCCGCTCTGAGAAGAACAAACCCACGGAAGGCAGCTGGCCCAGATAATCCCCAGGCATGCACTCAGGGTTTGCTCATCAGAGCTGTTGGAGGTGTTGATAGACATCTACGCCACCACCATCATGTCCCTTCCAAAAAATGACACTGTGACCTGTCTTAATGACTATCGACCTGTTGCACTCACTCCAATCGTGATGAAGTGTTTTGAAAAGATAGTCATGACACACATTAAAAAGACCATCCCAGCCACCTTGGACCCCTTACAGTTTGCATACAGACAGAATCGTTCAACAGACGATGCCGTCTGTACGCTGCCATCCACACTGCCCTCACACAATTAGAAGGCAAAGACTTATGTACAAATTCTTTTCATGGACTACAGCTCAGCACTCAACACAGTCATTCCATTCAGGCTCTCTCAAAAGCTCTTCACCCTTGTACTGACACCCTCCCTCTGTAACTGGGTGCTGAACTTCCTCACAGACAGACCTCAGTCAGTCAGAGTTGGAAACTGGACATTAGGCATCAGAGCTGTGAGCACAGGGACCCCCCGGGGCTGCATACTGAGTCTCTACACTCTCTTTACCTACGACTGTGTGTCCTCCCAACACCTGCATTATAAAGTTTTAAGACGCCACGGCCATTGGAATGATCAGTGGTGGGGAGGAGAGAGTGTAAAGAAGAGAGGTGGCAGGTCTGGTGGCCTGGTGTCAGGAAAATAATCTCTCCTCCACCTCACCTGTTCTCACCACACCCACCAGCTCCTGAAGAAAGCCCAGCAGAGACTTTACTTCTTAAGAAAGCTGAGGAAATTCGGCATGGCAACCAAGATCCCCAGCATGTTCTACAGATGTAAAGTCGAGAGCATCATCACCAGCTCAGTTACAGTGTAGCAGCTGCACTGCTCAGGACAGTAAGGCTCTCCAGCGTGTAATAAAAACTGCACAATTCATCTCTGGAGCAGCTTTCCCATCACTACAGGACATCTACACAACCAGGGTCATCAGGAGGGCCCACAACATTATAAAGGACAATACACACAACGCAGTGTCTTCACACTTCTGCAGTCAGGGAGGCGCTACAGGAGTGTGAAAGCAAGGACAAAAAGACTCTCTAACAGTTTCCACCCCCAGGCCATCAGACTCTTGAACAGGACAGCCCACACCACCCTTCCCCACACTTAATCACTCCCACTGTGACGTAATGTCACTCTGCACCTGAAGTGTAACTGTGAGGCATAGAGCACCTTATTCAACTCTCTCTTTGTTTACTGTACAATGTTCTGCACTTTAAGTTGTAAACTACAGTCTGATACAGAATATTAGCAGATTATACAGTGAAAAGAATCTCGTTAAGTTCAACCTCAGGGATGAAATGAAACCAGCCACAGCAGCATACACACACACACACACACACAAACAGACACACACACACACACACACACACACACACACACACACACACACACACACACACACACACACACACACACACACACACACACACACACACACACACACACACACACACACACACACATACAGTAAATACAGGATTAGTAGGAATAAGGGAGGAAGAGAAAAGCTCCAGAAGCTCAGTTTGAATGTCATTCTTTAAACAACAGCACCATCTACTGTCCAAAACAATACATTACAACCACAATCACCAATTTTGTTTTAGCAATAATGAGAATTAAACTGTAAAAATTATGGACCATATGGGCCCTTAAAACTTTACAAAATGAAAAATATTGTGTCTCAGTCCTCCAGTGTTCCTACATTAGATCCCATCCCAACCAAGTCGTACTCTTAATTGGCACTTCTTTACTAGATATGATCAATCTTTCTTTATTGTCAGGATATGTACCATAGTCCTTTAAAGTATGGAGCTTTTATCCAACTATAGACCGATTTCTAACCTCCTCTTCCTCTCTAAGATTCTGGAGAAAGTAGTCGCCAAAGAGTTGTGTGACTTTCTACATAACAATAGTTTATTTGAGGATTTTCAGTCAGGATTTAGAGTTCATCACAGCACAGAGACAGCTCTGGTTAAAGTTAATAATGACCTTTTGATTGCTTCAGATAATGGACTTGTCTCTGTACTTGTACTGTTAGATCTTAGTGCTGCATTCAAGTGTTAACCTAGTGTGACGTCACCCAGTGGTTTGTGGAGTTTATGAAGCCTCCAGTTTGGCATTATGGTCGTCACCATGTAGTTTTTTTGCAGTGGCGGTGACGTTCTACAAGTTGAGCTTCTCTCATTTAACAACATTTATTCTCAGAGGATCAATGAGTAGATGATTTAAAACATAAAGTTTTGTATCAGTCATATTCCTGTAGGATGTTTATGTTGACAAGGAAATTACAGATTTGAAGAGGTAATATAATTTATAATATAAATTCAGTTTCGTAAAATTAAATGATTTGACAATCAAGACTGTTTCCTTGCTATTTCCAAATGCGTTGTGGAATAAGCACCAACCCCATGCAACCCTAATCAGGAAAATAATCTTTCTACATATATTTTTTATATATAATCTTATATTCATATATTTAGGAAAAAATACTTTACAAAGTTGAGCTGTTTCAGATCCCACATACAATAACAGATGGTTGATTGGGTGACTGATTAAACCTTTATTAATGTCTGATGGTTTTAGAGAGTTTAACAGTTAAGACTTCTCTCTGTTTTCACAATTTCTCCTTCTTCATTCAGGCAGTAGTTGAGTGGTTAGAGTTCAAGTTGATGCTCTTTCTGCTTGGTCAGTGGTTCAACTTCATATTGTTCTAAATTACAGAGTGTTTGTATGCACACTGCCTTTAAACCTGGAAATTAATTTTCTCGTTAGGGTGTCTTGGATGTTATCTGTTTTACTGATATATGCCACAGCCATTTGTGTCACTGTTGGGCAGGAAGACGCTCTGAAGATGCTCTTGGAAGGATTCAGAGACTGTTAGATGATGGAGCCATCTCTGCTTCGCAGACTCAACGTCATCAAGCCGTGGCCGGTGGAATTAAAAACGGTGGACACAAAAAGTAATGCTTTTCACTAATTTATTAAATGTTTGTCCCTTTCTGAAAGGAAGTTTGTTGACTTTGTGCCAGTATCACAAAGGAGCATATATAGTTACTTTAAGTAGTAATTGTTAAATAGGCAGTGTTGGAAACTCCCCAGTAACTAGTAGTGTAACTTATTATTAATCAATTTCAGTAATAAGTATTAACAGTATAAGTAATGAGTAATGAATTCCATTTTTGAGTAACACTGTAAATATATGTTAATTTAGTTAAAAATGACCTTTGTTGAGCATGTAGTTAATCATTTGTACCTCAGTGCAGCTGTTGACAATATTAACGAGTTTCATTCTGTGTCATTGTTGGACAACTGCTCTGCTGTCGTCCAAAGTGTTGGTGTAGCTAATGTAGGATGTTCAGATACTTTCAAACACTTAGCGTCTAATTGCTGTAATTTGCGTTACACAGGAGCTGCTGATAGATTATTGATATGAGACGTTTACTCTGAGAGGATTCTGTCTTTGTTTCTGTCTGTTTGTAAACAACAGTTATTCAGTAAATTTATGATTTGATTCCACGTTATTTGTTCTTACTGCAGAAACACCAAGGTTCATTACCAGTGATACTAATGAAGGCTCCATTCCATTTAGTGTAGCAGAGCCTTTCCAGTGAGCCAACAGGCGCGATAACAGCACCCTGACTCTGTTTGACCTGAAAATGGCTGCTGTGAAAAAGGTCTATTGCATGACTGATCTAGGTCTAGGTCTGTGCAAGGCTCGAAGGCGGGACAGCCCACCAGGATTTCTCCCTTATTATTATTCAGTTTATACAAACTGCTGTGAGCACGATGGGCAGTCCGACTAACATCTCTGTGCTGGGTCTCCTCCTCAAAGTGTCTGTCCAACCATATTGTTATTGATTTTTCAGAGATGAAGCCGCTGCTCATCACTAAATGATGAAGATGAAAACAGGAAACCACACCCTGAGCTCAGAGCGATCAGGACCACGGGACCTGCTGCAGCTGAGGTGAGCTGATCAATATCTTTATTGGCTAAATGATGTTTGATGTGAAAATAGGTTTA